GGCCAGTCGTCCTCCCAGTTGACCCGGGTTAAAAAGGTCTCGCGGCCCATAGGGCATCTCCCTTGGTCCTCTAGACGGCCTCCAAGGCAGGTTCCCCACCATTGGCCCTCCTTGTCCTGGAAGAGTTCACAGTGGCCGGTATACTGGACATACTCTTGAGTACCACGCGCCGTGAGGACGGGGTTGCTTGGACATGAGTCATACGGGCCAAAGACATTCTGAGAGCGTGCCATCGTCACCATATGCCCGCCATGGGTACCACCCTCCGCGATGAGCAAGTAATACCAGCCCTTGACCTTATACAAGTGCGGCCCCTCGGGATAAATGTCACCAGTGCCGTTCCAGATGATCATCTCCTCGGTCAATTTTGCGCCGGTCTCGAGGTCGATTTCGAAGAGGTTGATCGTGGTGCCTGGGCCTATTCCACCGGACCCTTGCAGGTAGACTTTCCCATCATCATCGAACAGAAGACTCGGGTCGATTCCCTCGAACTCGAAGTAGACCGGGTCGCTCCATGTGCCTGACCAGATATCATCGGTGGAAACTATGAAATTCTCCGTCGCGTCCCTGTTCTTTCCCTCTCCACGGATAACATTGGTACAGACGATATAGAATTTGCCCTGTTGATAACGGATCGTGGGCGCGTATAGGCCTCCACTCCCGACCAAGAACTTGCCATCATCCACCGGGTAGAGGTTTGCCTGCGACTTTGCGAGGCTAAGCTGGGATTGGCGGTGAATTGCATTTCCTGTGCGCTCACACGTTAGCGGAAGCTCGAATTGTCTCTTCCATCTACTAAGCGACCGGGAGACTTACCGATCTGCTTCCATGATAGCAGATCTTGAGAGGCGTAGATAGGTAGACCGGGGAAAGCGTGGAAACTGGAATTGACGAGATAAAACCAGTCGCCCACCAAGACCACGGATGGATCAGGCGCGAAGCCCGAGATGATAGGGTTGACTGTATCCGACATGGCTAGCTCACGCAATGAAGAGAATGAAGGCTAGAGGAATAATCTATGTTCTTTCACTTCACCCCGCCTTGGGTAAAATACTTAAATATGCCAATTGAGATACTCCGCTTGCTATTAGCCAGGACTAGCTAGCGCCTTCTGTTCCACACACTCTCACAGGTGTCATATTCCCAGATATTCTACAGCACGCATTCAACCCATTAGCCCACATGCTAAGTAGTCGCGTAGCACCGATTCGCCAGGTTTGGCCAAGTATTGCTCGATCGTGCATGAGAGGGGTACAGTTGAAATTTAGGCAAGTTCCGGGAGATAGTCCCGCAGGAGCTAGCCAATACACAACGAGACCTGACCACTATCCGAGTTGGGGCTGCACTGTAGAGTCATGATTTCATAAGGAAAGATAAGCCAGGAGGGGAATTTGGCTTCCAACTGTATCTTTTTACAGGTCAGTACATGGCTTTGTTAGCTGCATGCGGCTGGATGAGGGGGTAAATTAGGCTGTTCATAGGCCACCAAGCAGGGATGCCAAGTACGCTGTATAGGCTAAATTGGAGCTCAAGGTCCAAAAGAGGCTCTCCCCCACAATTGCTCCGAAAGAAATAGTACATACAGTAGTCAAAGGAATCACATGGATAGCTCCTCTTGGCAATTACTGGGCGAGCAATCGGCTAGGCTGTTGATTATCAACGGGTTTGCGGATAGAGAAGCCGCTTTAAGAGAGGCGATTTGCATCTCCGTGTCGAACAAAGCTTTAAATGAATATTAACTACATGCTATGCCTGACTACTAGGTCGGCATGTTTGTAACTTGCACGCTTTTCCCGGCAAGCTTAACTAGTAACTAGTAAAGTGGCTGAGATTAAAATCAAAGCAAGTAAACGCTCTCTCAAGCTCGGCTAATGCTGAACCCTCCACTTGCCGGCGGTATCACTGTAAGTTTCGACCCCCAGTTAAACCCAGTTAAACTAACGTTAAGTTAATCGTCCTCTTACCAAATAAGGTCTAGCTGGACTAGGCAACCTCTCTCGGGCCCCCGCAAGTGTCTACCGCTAACCCTAAGTCTCCCAAGTCTCCACCCCCAGTCCCCCACAGCCTGCGGGGTCTGGAGTATGCACCGTCGAGGTATGAAGGATCATGAACCCAAGAGATAGCGCGTCAAGGATGCGAGCATACCAAGAAAATGCCAATATTTTCGGTAAAATGCAGAACAGGCAAATATAACCCTTGGCCAGCTCAAGCTATTCGCCAACACTAAATGGGGTGGCAACATGTCGTGACAAGCCCGGTTAGAGGACAATACAGCCGGGAATCGATCAAGCCACCATCTGTACGGAGGACAGGGGTTGTCAAGCTCATGGCTGTCTCGAAATTCATAAGAGGGGGCCTTTTTCCTTATTAAAAGCTCCCTTTCATCCCCATCTGCAGTGAGAAGAGGACTCGTTAACTTGTTACACCTCTTTTGCCTTTCTCATCTTCACCTACATCGAGTCCAGCGCACGCTACAGCAATCATGGCGTTGCGATTCCGGCCCCCGAAGCCGAGCCAGAAGATCCTACCGGTTAAGCCGACAAAGGGACACTTCTTGTTCGCGCACCAGGAGTTCAAGCGCGTGCCATGGTGGAAAAGAAAGAACATGCGGACCCTGTACATCTACATCGTCGTCCTGATCATGACCAACACCGCGAACGGTTTCGACGGTTCCATGATGAACGGTCTCCAAACTCTTTCCTACTGGCAGGAATACTTCGGGCACCCTCACGGCTCGCTTCTGGGTCTCTTTAATGCCGCCATGAGTCTTGGTTCTCTGCTCGGTCTGTTCGTTGTGCCTTACATGATTGATGCCTGGGGCCGTAGGCTGGGTTGTTTCGTTGGATGTCTTATTATGTTACTTGCTGTTGGTTTGCAGTCTGGCGCTACTGGCTTTGGCATGTTCATTGCTGCTCGTCTGCTTATTGGATTTGGTGATTGTCTTGTTCTTGGTAGTGCTCCGCTTTTGATTGCGGAGATTGCGCATCCTCAAGATCGTGCCGTTCTTGTCACGCTTAGTGGTGCTTCTTATCACTCTGGTGCGTTCATTGCTAGCTGGGTGACATTGGGTACATTGAAGATTCAGGTATGTATCATCACCAAACAGCTACCATGGATATACTTGTTCTCGACTAACACTCTTTCTTCCATAGAGCGACTGGTCCTGGCGTCTGCCCAGCCTGTTGCAGGCTATTTGCACCATTGTTATCGTTGGCGGTATCTGGCTCATGCCAGAAAGCCCCCGTTGGCTAATGAGCAAGGGAAGACACGATGAAGCCATGCGAATTCTCGTCAAGTACCATGGCGAGGGAGACCAGGATGACGAATTTGTGCACCTGGAGTATGCCGAGATCAAGGCCGCCATCGAACTGGACAAGGAGATTGACCAAACTCGCTGGGTTGACTTCTTGAAGACCAAGGGCAACCGCAAGCGAATTGGTCTAATCACTGCTCTGGGTCTCTTCAGTCAATGGAGTGGCAATGGTTTGATCTCGTACTATCTCAAGCAAGTTATGGACAGTGTTGGTATCACCAAGGCCTCTACGCAGCTTGGAATCAACGCTGGTATCAAGACCGAGGCCTTGATCACCAACTTCACCCTGGCCTTCTTCATCGATAGGTTGGGACGACGACCGGTCTACATGGTTTCGACGGTTGGCACGTTCGTGGTCTTCAATGCATGGACTATCGTGTCAGCTCGGTACGCGATCGCGGCTAATCAGGCGCTGGGATACATCTTCGTCGTCCTGACCGTTCTATACGGAGTATTCTACGATATAAAGTAAGTACTCATCCATCTAACAAAGTCTTATACCAACAGCCGCTAACATTAGGTTTCTCTCAGATCCGGTCTGATGGCAACCTACACCACCGAAATTCTCCCCTATGGTCTCCGTGCCAAGGGTTTCACCTGGCTGAACTTCTGCGTCACCGCAGCCCTCTTCTTCAACCAGTACATCAACGCGATTGCTCTCGACGCCATTGGCTGGAAGTATTACATTGTCTACTGCGTCTTCCTTGGAGCGGAGGTCTTCGTTATCTACACCTTCTTGATCGAAACCCGGTATACTCCCATGGAGGAAATCGCCAAGTACTTCGATGGCGATGACGCGGTTGATATTGGTGAGATTGCTGTTGCGGATATGAAGGAGCAAGCCAGGGAGTCGGGGGGCAAGGCGACTACTGTTCATGTTGAAGTGAAGGAGTAAGCTGATACACAGGGCATGTTGGAGATTTGTTTGGGAGGCTTTGTGGATGCTTTAATGATTTTTGGATATAAAGTTGGTTGGCTACGCCTAGAGCTCTTACTAGGAATTATCCCTGGGAACCTATCAGACTACACATTATTTTGTGCACGTTTTGTGAGCTATCTTCACTGATTAGCTCCTAATCATACTTTATTAGCTTCCTAGGAGCCATCTGAGTTGATGAAAATTGACGACCTGGATTCATCATAATAAACAAGCTGAAAGACCACAATTGGCGAGCAAAGTTGACTCGCATAATTGACCTAAATTCTAAACCCTAAGCCATGCACTAGTGATTGTATTGAGTAATAGGAGCGTGTTCAACCCAGGCGCGAATATCGGGGCTTTGTTATCTGGAATAAAGAGGGACTGGATTTTTCGGGATAGAAAATGTGGGTTGGAGTATGAACGTACTTGGTAGGTTCATGGCTCAGAGAGGCTGATAGGGGTGATGAGGAGTTGATGATACCCCCGGGGGGGGAGCCTGTTCAACATAGATCGTCGGACGCCAAGGATAGGGAGTAAGCTAGCAGAGATACCAGCCATCTGATGCTCCTAGGAGCTAGTCACGAACGAGCTTCTGAATCGTAGCGGGGTTGAATGTCTCCACTGTAAGTGTAGGAGAGCGCTATAAAAGTTGCATTTCCTCTTTTTTGCCTTCTTCATGCCACTCAATTTCGAATTTCCCGTTCTAAATATCCAAGACTAGTCGTCCTCGGCCTCTCCATTTCGCTCGGCTCTAGTCACATTACAATGTCTTCCCCTTCGGCTATTCTGCCAATTCAATTGGATGAGCCTGCTCTGCTACGTGGCTTTTTTGGTGAATCAGGCCATGTTTTGACCGTGATGAAGAATACATGTGCCATATTGGCTGTTGAGCCCATAATACAGGCACGGGCTACCATATACATACCGTCGCATGTCCTCGCATTCCTCTGGCACCGTTTTTTGACCACCGACGCATCTTATCAATCCGATGACGTATGTTTTTCCCGAACTTGAAAATGTAACTTTGATTGACGCGACAGGTTTAGGAGACTACTGGGTCATCGTATCGCAAACCCATCGACGGAAAAACCATCACGGTGAATATTCTCGTGTCAGCCAAAGTTTCTTTCTTTGCAACCCATGAGATATGTCTAATCACCGCTAACGCTCTTTACTACCCTTTCGGTTCTACCTCCGGTGCAAAGACCACCGTTGTTTGTGGTCCGTTGAGAGGACGCTGGCAAATCGAGGAGCTCGATACGCTCCGAAGCCAGGCATGGTCCGTTTATCACTACTCTGATGGTGACCTTGTCGAAGATAATTCGAACCTCGAATTGGAAGGGGAGCTTTGCTTACAGACTAGCCGTCTTTTTCTCGATACCCACTGCATTGTGAATGAGCACAACAATGAGGAGGAGGGATTGATGATTTCTACGAGCACAAGACTGAAAGTGCGGGACGATGTAGGGATTGACGTTCATTTCTTTGGCTGCTGTACATGATGAATGGTCTCGCTAGTTTAACTCGTATTAGCAAAGCGGGGCGGGCGGGGGCTCACAGTCTCCTTCCATTGGTTAATTGCCATGGAAAAGTGTCACGACAGAACTAGGCGTTACTAGTGTTTACAACAACCAGGTCTTGGCACATGTGGTATAAATAGGCATTTTTAGTTATGCAATACAACCAGACTTGACCACTTTTCCATACGATGACCAACATGACCCATTGTAGGTCGTGAAACCCGTTCAGCAAAGCTGATAAGCCAATGACACCAACCCTCGCTGGAGCGGGTGCTCTTGCTACATACCATATGGAAAATCATTTTACGCTGCCACAAATCGACGTTTCTAGCCCTTTGTAAGCGGTTTGGGTGACTGCTGTTTCACCCTAACCCATAGATTCCTTATTGAATCTAATCACCACCACCTGCACGTAAAGCATTACTCCATCTCTCAATTCGTGCCTGGTGACGGGAGCGACCTATACGCGGCATTTGCATTGCATCTGACCACAGGCATAGCACCACATCGATTTGCACACGCAGCTAGACCAGATATTTTATTAGCATTGACTCGTCATATTTTTTAGGTCAAGACATATATACTTCATGTGGTTGCAGCCATACGTGCGTGACACGAAAGCCTTGCAGTTCGGACACATCATCCACTTGTTTTGCTTTGCTGTAGATTGCAACTTATTCCAGTCCTTTTTATTGTTGCAATCACCAGCATGAGATGCCTTCTCACAGAAGGTGCAAGTGCTCTGCTTGCACTTTGAGCAAATCCCAACATGATCCTGTACCTTGTCGGCTGGAATTAGTGCAAGGCAGTGCTTATTGGAACAGATGATTTGTGGCACTGGCAGTGCTGACTTATTCACCTCGGCGAGGCGCTCTTCGAACCTTTGTGCCATGGTACCTTTGAGTGCTGGCTTGATCGTGGGCCAAGGAATAGGTGTGCTGCAGCACTTTGGTGGGAAGATGGAGATATCTGCCAACGCAGCTTCCACGAAGATTTGAATGCAACTGTTGCAGTAATAGTGGGGACATTGGCATTTGATCATATCCCGATCTGGAAGGCTTTCCGTGCATGCAATACATCTATGCAGGTCGGATGTAGGTGCATCGGTTCCAGAATACGGTAGGGACGGTGTTGCGGATAGCAAAGTCAGGGTAGAGCTGCGAGATACTATAGACACCTCATCATCTGAATCCGTGACGAATGTCTCTATTAACTGATCGACTTCTGAATCACCTTCGCTTTCTTCCGAGAAATCCGTGCTAACACTATCGCCCACGTCATTGTGATCGTCATTGTCATCGACACTGTCACCGTCGTGGTTTCCGTCAAAAACATTGCCAGGTTGAGGATATTCAATTGTATTGGCTCTTTCAAGTGCAGCGATGAACTCCCGAGGCCGTGTTTCAAAGTGATCTATCTCTCTTTCCCATGATTTAAGCGCGGCCTCGTGGTCTGGCGAATCTAAATCTGGCTGCGTGACCTTGACACGCTTGATGCGATCCAGCTCGGCTGCGATGTCACGCTTCAGAATCTCGTAAATCAGACTTGCTGATGCAGAGTCCATGTTTTTCTGGAGTCGGTTGTGAAAGTTGATTATCAGTATCAAAATGATTTCAAAGAGATAGGTTGCCCCCGATAAAGATCAAGTACCAGGTAGGATATGTCAAATTTGAATGTGGAGAAGCAATATTGAATCAATATAACGGACAAAGAATATTATATTAGATCGGAAAGTTCCTGACAGACCCTTTTGTAGAGCTGGCGTTGATTGTTTTTGCCAAATTACACCATGCGTAGTTTGAGTTTCCCAGGCCGATGTGACCTCACGACTAAGGCATATTTCCAAATATGTGAGCGGATGAGAGACCTGAACCGCTTTTCTCACACCGCAAGACCATGATATCCACTCCTTAGTTGAATCTTATGACGGGATTCGGTCCAAAAGACTTTCAATAAGCACACGCCCTTTTTCTGGACAACTAGATTCCTGGAGCCGAAGAGCACTGAGACTCTTTGCACAATATTCTAGCAAAACGGTATTCTCCTCGCAAGAACCATCTGACAGACACGTGAGCACGGTTAGTGTGGCTGCCATAACGCGATGGTAATATGGCGGCGTCCATTTGTTGCTTCCCCGGCTGTCTGTGGACAGAATCTTGTCCACAAATGAGATCGTTTCCTTTGCAGCTCCAAGACAGACACCTTGAGCCATTTTAGAAGAGTAAAATGGCGTCGAAAACTTTGAATTGACAAAGAACGGACGATGCATTATGAGCATGGCATGATTAAATCCTAGCAAAGTGTAAGTAGAGATATCTAGCAAGATATGAAAGAGTCATTAACGTAGTTCAATTTCACAACGTTGATGCTGAGCCCAAGGAATTTCATCCCATGCTTGTGGGTCTCCAGTGGGTGCGATGTCTTTCGGAGCTAAATGAGCGGGGAGTTCCCCTCGCCATGTCATGAGCTCTGCCTGGTGGTTCATAAGTCGGCCAACAAAGGACTGTAAATTTGACTTTCTTTCACTAATGTCGGAGGCCTATTCGACAATATTAGTAAAAAAGCTATGAACATCGATGTGTAAAATACCAGGTCAATCACTTTGCGCAAGATCCTTCCGAATTTTGCCATGACTGTAATAAAAACAAATTTGCTGAAATTTTCACCGTCTTCCTATTTCTTGGATCAGTCAAATACCACTCGAGAGGAATTTAAGAGCACGAACCGACATCTCTTCTGATGGATAAGGTGCTTTGGCATCTCTTTCTCTGATGCTGAGCGCTCTCCCATATTCAAGGCAAATATCAGACTCCAAACTGTAGATTGACCACCAAAGGGAGACTGCAGATTCAAATTCAACACCATCCGGCATCGGCACATTCATGTCATTGATTCCTAGTGTGTAAGCGAAACGGATGGCAACGCCAAGATAGTTGTACGCCACTTTCTCAGGTCAGTGCAAATTCTCACTCGTCTAGAGCGAAGCAACAAGACGTACCATTGGGCTGCGAAGTATGGTGTGCATAAACAGCCTATATGACAGTGAGATTGCTGAGGATTCTTGAGCCAGGGGTCATAATTCATACCATTAACATTGAAGCTTGTACAGTCAATAACCTGGCACCGTCAAATAATGACCAAATAAGCTTTTGAGCTTCAACAAAATAACCGGCAGCCCACTTGGCGTCCTGGGGAGTATTCATGTAAAGGGCGCCTAAAGCTAAGACTGAATGCATTAAGCATTGCCACTGGAGGGAGCCAGTTGTCTCCTCGGCTGGCAGTGGACTGTCCCAGAAACCAAGCCAAATGCCGCGAAATGTGTCCTCGGGGATAATTGGATAGATGCTGTGAACGACCTCGAAAAATGAATCGAGATGTTTGTTGGCGACGTTTTCGCGCAACCTGAAGTTTCCGGTATTTTGTATCCGAGACGCTTCATAGATTCCATCTGCCAGGCCCAATGAGCCAAAAGATTCCGACTCCGAATTGCCCAATCTGGCTCTCTTGTGTGGCCTTTCAGTGATGGCCTCACTGGCCTCGGTCAATGGGAGTAATTTGTTTATATCGTCCAGCAGCATCAGGGTAGCAGTTGGACCATAAACCGCCGACTTCGGTAATTCTCCATCGTGACACACAATAGCCCGTGGTAAGCTTCGTGCCGACGTGTCAGCATCTGTTGAAGCGTGAGTTTGATGGAAAAACATAACTGGGTATCGCTTGGACAGGACTTCACAAACCCATCAATCCAAGTGTCCCTTCCGTTCTATAGGTTTGTTCACCGAAAACTGCTCTTTCAAGCTCCAATACTCGTGCGTTTATCAAATCCAGCCCACTGTCGTCATATTTAGCTCTTTCAAAGCTGTAAGTCATGGATCAATTACCCATTCAGCCTGTTGGCCGCTGTAGAGGGATCATAACAGCATTGCACCTTGCTCTTCTCGCATGACTTGCAAGGCAATAAGCCATCACACTATAAAGCATTCAGCTTAGTAAAGATTTGGGTTCATCTTGTCGCTGGCTAGGGCCTTGGGGCTTTACCTTCAATTTTTTTTTCCGGCATGGATCGCAGGCCTCGGTAGTCTTTTTGCGCCCCGAAAGATTGGCCGTTCGGTTCGGTGTCGCTGACATATTTCTTGTGTACTGAAAAGTGTACAGAATGTCGACGTGAGAGTTGCAGGGTGGAGGTCAAGGGTTGGTTCGGGGGCATCCCGGTCAAGATTGGAGGGCCCATATCAATAGCGTTCATTGGCTGAACCACGTCACGGGAACAGTGGAGCCGTGCTACTGTACAAGATATACAAAAAGGAAGCAGCCAATCTATACCAGATTGATTCTACATACATCTAAATACCAGTCTCAAAATTGAACCAGTTCTTTAACCTGGACAGCCTGTCCAGTTCGAATAGCCTTGTTGGCTGCAATTCCTGTCAGGATAGACATAGCTCCGTCCACATGGGACGCAGCACGATTCAAGCGATCAGGCAAAGGTGTCCCAAAAAGGTCGTTCAATAAGACAGGGTCACCACCGCCGTGGCCTCCCTCTCCTTCAACCACCTCGGCCTCATATGGCGGTGCAAACATGGGGTGCACCGTGATTTTTGTATGCGCTACAGCACCCTCCTTGCTCTGATCGCCTCCTGCGTTGACATAAGATTCTTCAAGTACGTCCATCTCCAAGCGACCTCCAGTTCCATTGAAACAAACTCTGAATCCTTCCCATGGACAGTATGCATTAAGGCTATAAGTCATGATAGCCCCGGACTGGTAGCTCACCAGCACGCCCATCGTGTCTTCGATGTTGATGCCATCGCCGAAGACACTTTGATCACGGTAATAGCCATCTTCATGCTCGGCGTCAAGATACATAGCCTTGAGCTGGGGATGGTCTTCCATATGGAGAGCAAAAGGATCGTTGACCGCCGCAGCACTTCCATGAGCTCGAGAGTAGAACTTAGTCTCTCCTCGAGATTCGGCATTTTCTTTGCCGTAAAATTTCAAGTCACCCTGCGCAAAAACAGTCGATGGGCGACTTCCCAGCCAAAAGTTCACCAGATCAAAATGATGAGTTGACTTGTGAACAAGCAGACCACCACTGTTGCGTTTATCCCTGTGCCAGCGACGGAAATAGTCTGCACCGTGACGGGTGTTCAGGAGCCATTCAAAGTGCACCGAAGTCACTTTACCAATAGCACCATCCATTAACAGCTCACGCACTTTGGTATTGTGAGGCGCGTATCGGTAATTGAACGTAACGCGCAACTGTTGCTTGGTCTCCTTGACAGCGTCTAGAATCATCTGACACTTGATCTCATCCACAGTCATCGGCTTTTCGCTCAACACATCGCATCCCAACTGCATAGCGCGGATGATGTATTCATGATGAGTCCGGTCAATAGTCGTTACTATCACCGTATCGGGTTTCGTCTCTTCGATCATACGATCAAAATCAACTGCCTTGTAGGTCGGCAATTGCGCCAATCCTAATTCCTGTACCCGGGTATTGGCCACATCCATTCGTGTTTGATTTGTATCACAAAACGCCACAAGGGATGCGCTATCTTTGAAATCCCGAACGATGGCGCTGTAGAAGAACGCGGCGCGTCCTCCGGTGCCTACAACGGCGTACTTGGTGGGTGCCATATTGTGATGAGCCTGGATGTGGCTTTCAAAATCTTGAAATCTTCAGGGTGGCTATTTGTTCATCTCTTTGAAGCGATGAACCTTGATTCACTGCGCTGTACCCCTCAGCCAAGAGAAGTGGTTACCCCCACGCCTTTGCTGTCCAACGTTTTTTCCATCAATAAGAAGAGACCCCGCAATCCCCAGGAATGAACCCCACACTGTCCATGAAGGGGCCATATCGAAACTTTAATCTCGCTTCGGCCCAGTCATGTCCGATCGGAATCTTATCTTTGTGGCAAAGAATTCACATGTCCGCTCAATTTGGCACCTACAACTTGATGCGTGAAGATTTTGTAGCATATAGAATTCATTTCATCTATCATTGTATTTATCTTCACTCGGAAGGGATAGAAGCAATCAGAAATCTTTAAGTCTATATTTCGATCTCTAATTAAGATATCGACGGATGTTTGCGAGGTTAGAGATCGCAGATACACCGTAGCGAGCTGCCTCATTGGTCGTCACCCAGACAGCCTCCTCTCCGTGGCCAAAGTACTCCGGAGAAGATGTCTTAAAAACAGTCCAATCGTGGTTAGCCGTGTATCCATCAGTATTGAAGAATTGTTTCCACGCTGCTTGACCGAGATCATCACGCTTCTGTTCTACCGCAGCAAATGCCGTCAGGGTCGAATGGCTCTGGCGCCATGTCGCATGAGATGGAAACTCGAAGCCGAATTCTTCCCGTTGAACATCTGGTCCTCCATTATATGCCCGACAGTAGCACAGCCAGACCTTCATGAACTTCTCCACAGTCTCCGGGAATTCACCACGAGCATAGTGGAACAATTCCGAAGATATTTCTGGAAATCCGAATAGCATAGACAAATGTGAAATTGCCCAATCCGGTGTTGGAGGCGGGCATTCCCGGACCTCCCCGGTAGTAGGATTCAACAGAATAGCATTGTTTCCAATACCGTGTTTGAGCCCAGCGATCCCGTCCAGAAGCTTAAGTAGAAGTCCTTTGCAACGAGCCCATCCTTCCGAACGCCGTTCCCATGCAGTCAACCAGCTAGCAACGAGAGGACCACAATCAAGACCTATGTTTGTCATGGCAAAGCCTTCAGGTATGCCGGCGTGTTCTTGGACCTTCCGATGTGAATCCAAAGTCAATAGAGCATTTTGGCTTTCCTGGAGCTCCGTGATTAAATCGCCTGTACGCTCATCTCCGGTCAAGTAGAAATAGATGCGCCGGTAAAGGACATTCGAAATGCGGAGTTGTTTTGAGCTGTCACTGAAATGCTGGACGCCATGGCGGGTTCCAAACCCTTTAAACCTCCCCATATGATACACATCCACTTCACCAGTATGCCTAGTCATTGCCTCGGCCATTCGAAAAACGTCTGCTCTTCCGGTGTGGAGAAAATATAACCAAAGCCACAAGTCGGTGGAGAGTTCAGAGTTGTCCCAAGCAAAGCCGCCAACATCGTATCGCCAGGCATGTCGATACGCATCATAGGTATGTTGAACATCCCCGTGGTCCCAGAAACCATACCATCTGTTTTGCTCCACCTGGTTATGGTAGAACTCGAATAAAAGATTCAGTCTTTTCTCGACTTCTGTTTCTTGCGGGGTAGGCGCATGGCCCAGGATCTGCGAGCTAGGAGCCCAACATCCATGGAATGCACCCGTAGAATGTAGATGTTCCGGTGTGGCTACCAAACGAGGTGGATCTCGAACTAAGGATGAAAACAAAGAAATTTCTTCATTCGACGGGGTAGCATTGAATGGTCTCAGGAAGATTTGATTCGTTCTTCCAATGCCATTTGCAGAAGCAAATCCAGGCTCAAAGTCCTCATACGTGACATTTAGACCATCTAATTGTTTCTCGTAAGAGTCCATCCCAAGTCCATCATGATAAGGCGTGGTTTCCAAGGGCTCGGAGAGCGGCGAGTATAGCCAAACTGTCACTTTGCCATGGTCGGAGGTTAACTCGCTCAGATCCAGCTGGGTAGGGTAACGCTCCCAGAAATCAGACATGCCCACTGCTAGTCCGCCATAGTGAGCTGATCCCACATAGGCTGTTCCGTCAGCTCTCCCGCCTCCGATGACTTTGACCCAAGAGCAGCCCGGCTTGGTCCTTTTTTTGATTGTGAACCCGTCCGATGAGAGTTGGGAAAGAGAATACGATTCCCAGGATGGAATATAGGACACCCCTTTTTTAAGGTCGGTCCTAGTCCACTCTTTATCATCCAAAATGACTGATCTTCCAGAGGCCTGGTCGATTCGATTTTGAATCGTGGGGCCATGACGCAGCCCAGTCAATCCTTTCACTTCTTCTTTCAGAACGCCGCCACTCGATCCTCCTATTCGGATATGGCGGTTATAAAGTTCGGTTTGTTCAAAGGGGACTGTAAATTGAATTCCGAGGGAGGTTAAAGGCTCATTCGAATCGAGATCGTGGATGAAGGAGTGAATAATCTTCACAGACGAACTATTCGAATAAACATAGAATCGCATATTGAACGGAAGGCGAGAGACACCGATAGCCTCTACCACGCCAGTGACTTTGACGACGGCCCTACTAAATGTGGTATTTTCAACACCCACTGCGTCCACGCGTGTTGTGTATTCTTTGTTGTTGATAGATGCGACAACCGTAGCATTTGAGCAAAGTGATCGACCTTTGACAGTAAAGCTTTCCAAGATCGATGAGTTACCCGGGGCAGCAAATCTCAAGACAATTCCCTCATGTGTAGTCACCAAGAGATGTGAGCCCTGATGCTCAACCTTAACACCTTCATGGGTTTTTATTGGATGCGGCGTGCCTTTGACCTTGTATTCTTCGCTGTAGCCAATGTCACCTGAGACCGAATGAGCCGTCCATTTGAGCGACCCATCGGCCCAGTAAGCAACTTCTCGGCAATCCAGTGGCCATTGATTGCCATCATTTTCAATCACGAATTGCTGGCTTGATTGGTAGAGACCCTGTGTCCATGACATTCCAAACGAAACACCACTCTGAAGAGCATTAGGGCCATCTCCATTTAGCCACCGCAGATTATTATACATGATTGCTGGGCAAGAGAGACTTAGAGACTGAGCGCCTAGATCTTTTCTATGTTGAGAATTGCACGCGAGGCAGGAGCTGGGGTCGGGATTGGTTGTGCGGGGGCACACCAGACTCAATTAATGCCTAGTTCTAGTAGTTAGGTCCGACAATATGCTGTCCTTAACTGGTCAACTTCAGGAGTGGATCCAATGACAGGTCTTTCACGAAGAATATTCGAGGACGCGTCTCCTTGTCGAAAAGGAATTGCCGCTAAATGTAGTGGCGTGATCCTTCAATATTTCCCCGCTTTCTTTCCTAGCTTAGGCTAAAGTCCAGGGTTCGGTGTATCTGATGCCGGATCAACACATGGTATGCCCGTCACTTAGTGAACTGTGCAGTCTTCTATCCAAGCTCTACTCTAGACGCGATAACCAAAGTGCACAGGGAACCTCTATCTTAGGTCGTGTTTCCTGTCGATATTATCTCAAGATAAATCCGAGCCTAGCGTTCGGGCAGCTCTCCCCATTCTTTTCGGGCCTCCTCTTGATTATTGTGGGTTTTAATCCGCCAAGAGATAATTATTCCTCAAATAGATCGCTCACTTGGCATAATTGCTTAAGCTTTCCAAGCTCGTAAAACTGTGAATTTGTTCTCCACATGCGGTATGTATTGCGGTACCAGAAGATACAAAAGACTTTCTGTTCAAGATGACTGACACTGCGTATGTATCTTCTTCATTTACATTAGCTCTTGTCTACTGTTTTTTTTTTCTTTAATTTCATTCTTGTGTGTCTGTGTAAGCCTAAACATTGCGTGAGCTATTCACCTGAACAGCGCATCCAAAATCTAAAGGGTACCCGGCAACTAGCACAGGCTAGCAGGGGTCTAGCCGGAGCTATGGCAGCTGACAGATCGGCGAAGCCCTAGCGTGTAAGACTCGGGATATTTGATTCCGGATCGACAAAGGAAATGCCTAATAGATCGTGCACATTGATTACGATCAGTGGAGACAGCTCACGGACCTAAATGGACTTTCCCCAGACTATGGATCCCCATATTCCGGGGATGCGGAGTAAGTAAACAGAGGAGCTGCGCTGTAAGTCGCAGAAACAGCTATAATCGACAAAGAACCCGGCAGCTGCGGGACTTGAGCTTGAGCTTCCTTTCCCCCCACCCTATTCTCTTTTGTCATAATTTCCGACATGGCTGAACACCAAGAAGATGTTGCCGACAGGAATACAACGACCGTGGTCTACGACAAGGATGAGGAAAAATATTCTGCTGCCATCGACACCCTGAAGGGTGCTCAGAGAGCAACTGACAATGAACACGGAATGACTCTCAGAGAGGGTATCCGCAAGTACCCCAAGGCCGTATTCTGGTCAATTTTGTTCTCGACAGCACTCATCATGGAGGGATTCGACCACGCATTTGTCAGTGGTTTCTTCGCGTTCCCGGCTTTCCAAAAGCGATACGGCGAGCTCCAGAGTGACGGTACCTACCAAATCCCCGCAGATCTACAATCCGGTATAAGCAATGGTGTCAATGCTGGAGAAATCATTGGTCTATTGATCAACGGATTGGTTGCTGACTGGATCGGTTACCGCTGGGTTATGATGATCTGTCTGCTGCTCATGACGGCTTTCATCTTCCTTCAATTCTTCGCAACTAGTATCTACATGTACATGGGGGCCGAAATTTTGTTGGGTGTGCCGTGGGGTGTCTTCCAGACCCTGTCGACAACATACGCCGCTGAAGTATGTCCTAATGTCCTGCGACCGTACCTCACGATGCTGGTTTCTCTTTGCTGGAGTATCGGCTATCTTCTGGGTACCGGTGTGCTACGTGCTTTCCTTTCGTCCACTGGGCAGTGGGCCTACAGAATTCCATTTGCCCTTCAATGGGCGCTACCTATCCCGCTTGCTATCGGTATCTTCTGCGCCCCCGAGTCGCCTTGGTGGCTTACACGGAAAGGCCGTATGGACGACGCACGAAAGACTTTGCGTCGCCTACGTTCCCAGGATAGTTCGGAAGCAGAAGTCGAGGATACAATTGCGATGATGGAGCATACGATCAAGATTGAGAACGAGATGAAGGCAACCAGCAATTATTGGGATCTCTTCAAGGGCGTGAACCTGCGTCGCACCGAGATCACAGTGTTCGTCTATCTCATTCAAGAATTATGCGCCCCGCTCGTTTCTTACATCGTGTACTTCCTGGAGCAAGCCGGTCTTGCCTCCGCCGCATCTTTCGATTTCGGCATGGGAGAGTACGCCTTGGCTATTATCGGTGTTTTCATTGCCTGGTTCTTGGTTCCAAAGGTTGGCCGTCGCACGTTGCTATTGGTCGGCACTGGCTTTTTGACCTTGACTACTTTCCTCATTGGCTTCTTGGGCATTCCGAGCATATCCACCCATCCAAACATTGGCTACGGAATTGGAAGCATCCTTTTGATTCAATACTTTGTCCTTTTTATCACGATCGGTCCTATCATCTATACCATTGTGACTGAGATTCCCTCCAATTTCCTTCGAACCAAGAGCGTTGCGCTCGCGCGTGCAGTATACAATATTGGTGTTCTTGTTTATGGACAGCTTATTCCGCATATGGTTCAGAATGCGGCTTGGGAATGGGGCGCTAAGAGTGGCTTTTTCTGTGGAGGAATTATGGCCATTGGTTTTATTTGGGCTTATTTCCGTCTTCCTGAGACTAAGAACCGGACTTTCGCTGAGATGGACATTCTTTTCAAAAACGAAGTCAAGGCTAGAGACTTTGAAAAGACGAAGGTGGATCTTGCGTCCGAGACTGTTTCGCAGGATTGATGGATTGATTTATTATTTAAAATTCCTGTCTGTCTGATTAGATTATACACAATTCCTTCTCAATGTTACTTTCTCTTGTAAATGTGAATAACTGCGACCGCAAGGATCTTTCCCGTAACATATGCCAGGTTTTGGCCCCTATCTGCTGCCCACCGAACACCTAATCCCCTCTTTCACTCATTATGAGTCCTCATGACTCACACCTGAAAAATCACGCTGATCCATCTGTTATAAATACAAGTCCGGTATGTTCTCGGATCTTTCAGATACAAAAATATTATTTCCATATTATTCTGCTATCTGTTCACCTGCAGAAACTTTTCAACAGATAGACCTTCTTGCACTCGCACGACAATATGGCAACATGTATAAGCGTCCCAGTAGCTATTCCAGAAGATGGCTTACCGACAAAGCCCATGATAAAAGCCATTGTCGGCACATTCTTCACCAAGGAGTGGCCAGATGTGGATCCAGAAACCCTCATCGTGACATACAACACTGCGTACGCAAACACAAATTGTGTCGTGGAACGGCCAAAGAACAAGGATGAAATTTTTTCAGAGCCTCTCAAGGTATTCCTCAAGATCAACGGGGAGCTTGATGGAGAAATTGAGGTGTTCAAACATTTGGTTCCCAACAAACACGAAGAGGCACAGCTATGCTATGATTACGGCCAATTGGGTCTTGGTGCCAAATTATACGCCTTCTTCCAGACAAAGGATGGCGCTTTTGGAAGGATCGATGAGTTTTTGGATGCACGAAATCTGAAGCCAGAAGATGTGGAAGACGAAAATATCCGAGCCGACGTCGCAAGGGGATATGCCGCCTTTCACGCCATGTCGACAGAACGGGGAAAAAAATCGGTTGAGAGTTATTACGATACAATCACCCGAGAGCTTGCGAAATATCACAGGATGGAAAAGCTCAAGAGGCTGGCCAAAGAAGTAGATGTCGGTATTGACCACATTATCGATTATGACTTTGTGTCACGAATCAGACAAGTTGTCGAGAGACTGGATTCAATCAGAGGAAAAAAAGGGTGGTGCATTCACGACGTTCAATTTATGAATGTGATGGTAAAGAACAACCTTAGGCAAGGCGAAAGCAGGATTGTTCTCATAGACTTTGAATTCGTCTTTCAAAATTACCGCGCATTCGACATTGGCGGCCACTTTTTGCAGAAGATGTTCCAGTGGTTTGATGAAGAGAGCAAGATCGCCAAATGCCGACCTTATACAGAAGAGGAGAAGAGGCACTTTTGCGAAGAATATGCAGTGCAATGGAATGAGGCGACTGGCGACTCGGATGCGGGGGAACAGATATTTCTGGAAGCTGAGCTGGGCTTCCTGCTGGCCATCACGTTCGAAATCCATAACATGCTATGCTTTATGGATCAGGATGACGCCAAGGAGCCGTTAGAGCTCCTGGGGCTTCAGAAGTTGTTTGAAGAGTTCGTCAACCAATATGAAAGGATTGGACTGGAAACGTAAGGGCCTCTGCCCATATGTCTTGTTAGTTTTCTTAGATGCACTTAACGACAATATATAGCGAGAAAGCTATAACGCGGCTCAAATATGACTTTCTCTATAATAAAGCAAAGAAAATTCATATAAATCTAGAGATTCTCTATTCGATTCCTCTATTCGAATTCCGCTTTGATCGCCGAGGCAAGTCTGCGGGCTGCTTCTGTGAGGTCTTCTTTCGATGCTGATGCATAGGTAGCCCGAAAGAACATTCGATCTTCTACCGCATCGCTCTCAGCCCAGAAACAAGATCCGGGCGTCACAAAGACTTTATGTTTCACAGCAGAATTAAATATTGCTTTTTGGATGGTCGGGTGATCACTCCCAGTCTTATACAGAGGGTGGGACTTCCATTTGATCTCAATCCATTGCTAGTAAAGCTAGCAATCAGCAAATACACATGCAGCATGAGTTATTAAGAACTTACAAACATTCCCGCGTGAGTAGGAGTCCAATCCACAAAGTCCTTCGGAAGGTATTGGTCGCATGCCTCGGCAAAAACATTCCTCCTCCAAGTATATTCTTTCTGGATACTTTCCAACCACTTGAAGAAACCCGAATGCCCCCAGTGGTGATTGAGCAGTTTGAAAACAATCACCTGGGAGATACCACTAGGGTGCTGAGATGAAGTCTCGTTCTGCCGAACAAACTTCTCAATAACCTGCTGGGAAGCAGTGACCCAGCCCAATCGAGTTCCAGGTGAGAGGACCTTAGATAGTGAATCCATTCGAAGGACTCTTCCATCCACATCGAGACTCAAATACGATGGAATAAGACCATCCATGTGGGACGAGTTGAGCACCTGATTCGGGCGGTATTCCGGCAACTGCAGGTAGTAATAAGGCTCATCTTCCACAATATAGAGATTGTGCTTTTGCGCGACAGAGTAGATAGCCTTTCTCCGGGCCAGAGACTGCGTAGCTCCAGTAGGATTCTGGCCCGTCGGGACCATATAAAGCAGAAATGGTTTGCGGGCCCCGCGAGCTTGCACGTCCCAGCTGCAAAGCAATTCGTCAAGATGCGTTGGAATCAATCCTTGTTCGTCCATTTTCACGCCGAGCGTTTTGATGCCCAGGGGCCACGCTGTTTCCAGTGCACTCGCGAATGCATAGTTCTCAACGAGGATGTGATCCCCTTTGTTGCAGAAGATTCTGAGAGTTGAGTCCCATGCAGCTGTACTTCCGACAGTCAAACAGCAGCCCCAGTCGGCGTAAGGAGGGTCATGTAGTAACTGAGTTAATTAGTGCTGGTTTCAAAGATAGTCCGGTCATGTTTAGTAATCTCACCTCTGTATGCTCTGTCACAAAGCGTATCATTTGTGCAGAACCGGTTCCTTGGCCATAATTCAAGGCAACATCAAGGCCTCGGGTAGATTAGTGAATAGATTTATTAATGTCTGAGATTGACGGATTTACCGTAGTCGTTGGTTCCTGCCTCAAAGTCATACTTGGCCATGTGAATAATTGAATCGGGTGTCTCCATATCTGCCGAAGATCCTAATTCATTTGACACTTTAACATCGACCTCCTTGAATGGAAAGTAGGCAGCTGATGGTGCTCCAGCACCGAGTGAAATCATGCCTGAGAGTTTTCACTGTTAGTGATTGTTAGCCAAGTCAGTACGCAAGAGACTAACCAGGCTCTGCCGCAGCTCGGGCAGCTGCCTTGATGCTGGAGGGCTGCCTTCTGGAAGCCTCTTCGGAGAATATTCCTGTTGGATATTGAGTCAGACGAGCCATCCATTGGAAAAGGAAACCAAGTCTGACTGGTTACCTTCCCATCGCTTTGATGTTGGCTTAGAAGTTTTGGATTCTCCTGATCCTTCCAGTCCTAAAGGTTTGGGTGGACTTTTAAATAAGTCACTATCGCCCTTCGCTTCGACACAGCCGAATAATTTCGAGCTGTCTTTCCGCCAGATAGGATCACCATTGGGGCCAAGCCGACATGTTACACTTCGGGGGAACATAATTGACTAGTGTTTAGAGCTGGAACCAGACCTTCAATTGAGTCAGTGTGGGAAGGGGGAACCGTTTTACATTCCAGAGCTGATCAAAATTGCTCCTGATTGTGACTAACTTGGAAAGAAAGATCCACAGCATGGCTTCAATCCTTATCCTGTCCATCGATTGACCAGGGTTGCGATGGTGCTCTTAGTGGATCTCTGGAGTTCCAGCCAATCGGGGAGATCCCTTCTGTACCTGAATCCACCTTCCACGCACCTCATCCCGCAACCCAGTCTGGCTCTTAGACCACTTTTCGAATGGACTCGACTGCCGTGCACGACAAAGGGATGCATAGTGGCATGGAAGTACCCATGGCAAGTTCTCACTTTTTCACAGCCTTCCGTGACTGCAGAGAACAATACTACCTCAAACCACTGCAGTCCCCTTGGTTTTCGCCATAAAAATAACAATTCTGGATAAAATCATGTAAACATCGAGACCGAAACTTGCATTCCGAGGTCATTTCAAACTCCCCTATTTTCGCATAGTCAACGAGTACGGTTGTCGAGGAGTGCGGGGTGAACCCACCTGAACCGGCAGTGTAGTGGGGCTGTTCACTACAGCGGTTGGCTCTCGGAGATGCCGTGAGTAAACCACTTGGCTTGGCTTCGAGGGATAGTCTGCACACCTGAAGGTGAATACCTATAAAGTCCCCCAATTTTTGATAAATCACGATTGAATCAAGACTTGTCGATAACAGCGAAGATGACTACATCCACAGATAGGCCACTCAAGCGCGCTCGTTATACTGAAGATGACCTCGATGCTGACGAATTGATCTCGGCTGCCGAAGGATTCTTCGAAGCTTTAGGTATGTATAACACCTTGCGAATGTTCTTGAATACCACTGACAAATTATGAAGCTGAGGCCGGCGTCACTTATTGCTTTGTCAACTTGTAGGTATTCGGGTTCTACCAGATTTTGGGTAACGTGTTCATGTCATAACCAGCTAACGTGCAATAGAGGAAGCGATCATCCTGCTATGCTCGAAGCCATGATCAAAGCGAAGCAGAGTGCGTTCATCCCCGCGATAAGTATAACTAGAGAGATTGCTCTTCTAATTACCTGCAGAACAACTCATCAAATTTCCCAACATCATTACCTGCCCCTCAGAACTGGTGGCTTTGTCCGCAGCTCTTGGATTTGCTCAAGTCACCGGAGATCCAGTATGGCGCCCCTCGCATTTTACCCCATCAGCACTTTCTAATTCCATTTAGCAATGCGTTCTTGTACATGTAGACTGCGGCACACTAGCCCTAGGACAGTCCATTCACAATGCCTCCGTTGGCAGAGTGCCCGCGTTGTGCTTTGCAGGCCTGAGCCCCTTCACTCAAAGGGGTGAACTTTTAGGTTCACGAACTGAGTATGGCAAGATCCGTCCCTTCTCGAACATTATCTAACGCAGGCATAGATTTATCCACTGGCTACAGGATGTGCCTGACCAAGCCTCAATTCTCCGGCAATATTGCCGATACTCCGGTGAAATCAAGAGTGGACGGAACATCAAGGAAATGGTCAACAGAGCCCTGCAAATTTCTTTGTCGGATCCCAAGGGTCCAGCTTATCTTATGGCTGCAAGGGAGGTTCTTGAAGAGGTAAAAGTCAAGCCAACACTTCAATAGAGCAAATACTGAGAGGCTGTCAACTACAGAAAGTCGACAGAAAGTATCTTGAAAAAGAGAACCTCAATCCACTTGCTCCAAGTGCCTTGCCTGAGTCAGGTATCGATATCCCATCCTGACATCCGTTTATGGCTAATAGCGGTAGATGTTGAATTGATTGCAAATGCACTCATGAATGCCGAACGACCTCTTGTGATCACAGGCTATCTTGGCCGCAACACCCGTGCTCCACCACTGCTAGAAAACCTCTGCGACAAATTGCCAATCAGTGTTGTAGAGATGGTAGGCTCCGATCTCTGCATACGAAGCAACCACCCGGCCTACCTGGGGGTCACTGTTACAACACACCCCGCGGTCCTTGAAGCAGATGTCATTCTCATCTTGGATTGCGACGTCCCATGGATCCCGACTGCGGGAAAGCCCCACAAGGGTGAGTATTAACCTGTATCTTGCCAAGCCACAGCCATTTACTCGTGATTCTCATTCTAGGCACAAAGATATTCCATCTGGATGTTGATCCGCTCAAGCAACAGATGCCTCGTAGGTTTCTAACCCTCCTCGTGAAAAATTCGCTCTAAACCTCCTACTATTAGTATTTTCCATCAATGCGATTCGCAGACTTAAGGTGAGCTGCGAGATTGCACTCAACCAATTGAATTCCTATCTGGACACACAGGCTTTGGACAGCCTGCGCTACACTGAAGCATTCGACGCACGTGAAGTTCGCTATAACAAATGGCGTGAGAGCCTCCGCGCTTTGGAAATGCCGTCGGACAATGAAATTGTCACCGTGCCATACCTAACAGCCAAGCTGAGACAGCAACTTCCCGAAGATACGAGTTACGTTCTTGAGGCAGTCACGAATGCAGGACCGGTTATCCACCACCTAAATCTAGTGAAGGTGTGTATGATCCTTTGCAGCCAACAATTAAAATTGCCTACTGATATTTTCGTCAGCCAGGGAGTTTAGTCGGCAGTGGAGCTGGCGGTCTAGGCTGGGGTGGCGGTGCAGCCCTCGGCGTGAAACTAGCCAAGCCGGATAGTTTCATCTGTGCAATGTGGGTAAGATCGATTCCTAAGAGAACTGTGCAAACACTAAAATGTCGCAGCGTTGGAGATGGAACGTATCTATTCTCACAGATGGAGAGTGTTTATTGGATAGCACGGCGCTACGATGTTCCATTCCTCCTCGTCGTCTTGAACAACGGCGGGTGGAATGCACCCAAAGTGTCCGCTCTCCTTGTTCATAAGGACGGCCTATCATCGAAGTCTAACAGAAAGGGTAGGAAAATCAGCGGTGTTTGCTTGGGGCTATTTTACTAATATGGGTTACATAGACCTCAACTTATCATTTGAGCCCTCGCCTGATTACCCAGGAATTGCCACTGCGGCTGGGGGTGCCTGGGGAGCTACGATCAAAACACAAAGCGAGTTAGAATCGGTTATACAGGAAGCCAGAGGTATTGTTCAGGGCGGGAGGTGTGCAGTGATTGAGGTTGCGTAAGTTGATGTCCATAGAAATTGACTTTGATTAACATGGAACTGACATCATTACAGGGTTCCATCGATGTGGAAGGAGACATAGATACCAGGAGACCTAGACTTTATCTGTTGAGTATTGTGTTGATTGATTGAAAAACAAGGGACAATAATTGCCATTAGTAAAATGCAAGCTGGTTTTGTACAGTATCATCACATCAGTAGATCACTTCTACGCCATCCCAATGCTGTTTCCAGGTCAATCCAATAAGCCATGCGTCCGCCCGAGTATGCCCGAGTATGATAAAAGAAATATAGAGACAATCAGATCCAGAGAGGAAATATTGGAAAAGAAAAGAAAAAAAAAGGTAGGAAAAGGAAAAGGTAGTGCTACAATAAGCTTAGGCCCGAGCATATGGCCGTGGTTTCCAAGTGGATCGATCAAATCCGACTTGTGGTTGTCTGACCCCATGTGTAGAAGTGCGAGGAGGAGTACGGAAATCGGGATATAAACCGGATTCCATGTCCATCAGGACTGCGCTCTGAGGCTGTGCGGAAGCCCAGCCGTTGGTTTTGCCCGGGGTTTTGGTTGAAGAACGTGGGTTTGAGGATTTGGTGGTAGGGACGGAACGGGTTTTCTCTTTGATAATTTCGCGCATCTCTTTATCCTCCTTAGTGATCTGGGCTTTGATGAATGCTAAATCGGATGGCTCAAAAGTTGACATAACGGACTCTCGTGGCGTATAGGTGTACTTCTCTGGGTGAGGAGGAAATGTTGGTGTGATGGAAGGATCCAGCAAAGCTCGTTGGCCTTGATCTAAGATCTGAGAAATGTCCAAAGTTTCACCATGAGGGATCTTATGTGGATGCGAAGGCGTGACGCAATCCATGTCAACCTCCTTGCGCAGCACATGGTCGACGTCAACCGCGGAGAAATAAGCACAGGACTGAGGAAGATCGTCGATGCCCACTTGCTGTGAGAAGAGGGCGCGGGTCCAGACGTTGGCGATCTGCAGTGCAAGGGCTGCTCGGTATCTATCCTCGTCCTTGACCAAATACCTGATTTCATCATGGACAGTGATTGACAGGCGAGCGTGAATATTGAATCTCCGAATCAGATAATCCATTCCAACGATCAGGAGGTGAAGATAATCTACACCAGATGATTGGATAGCCCAATTAATGCGGGATGTCATGAAGCTGCCTTTGTTGATGAAGCGGCGCATGAGGGCCTCGGTAATTCCAGCCCCTAGAGCGGGAGTTCGTGGCTTTTCCTGGTCGGCGAACTCCTCCAACTTGTTGAACACGAAGGATTCTGTGCCCCCTCGCCAGAAGGGGGTCTCACTGAGAACACGACGCGACGTTCGTATGCCCTTGGTCTCCTTGTACAGATTCGCTGCCGTCTCCTGCGTCTGTCTCTCGGTCAATGATGGGTTGAATTGACGAAGGAGAGTAGCAGCAAACTTGACACCAGCTCCATAAATACGCCCATAGTTGAAGACCTTGGCATCATTACGGGAGATTCCCAAAATCTGTGCACTGCGAGAGTGCAGATCAGTTCCTGCAGCTTTGGCGCCCTCCAGTGTCATGAAACCGATGGCATTCCCTCCGTGTATCTGGAAAGACGCATCGCCAACAAGACTGGCAATCCAAAGTTCTTGGGAATCAACATCTGCACCGACAAAGGAGTATCCGGGTGGTGCTTTGATCATGGCCTTGAGCTCCGAGCCGACACGATTTCCTTTCGCATTGCTTGCAGTAAGCCAAGTGTTCTCAACTGCACGGCGAGTGATGGTGCCCATCGGGATGATCTGAGGCAAAATGAAACCCAGTCGGTTCTGATCCTTGCTCCTCAAATCTGCCGTTTTGACTTGGTCCTGGTAAACCACCATCTGGCTCATTATCCGGTCCCGAGCACTGATCCAATATGAGCAAGAGGCGTTCATGTCTAATGCTTCCTTGGCAAGCTCGAACTGTGACGATAAGATTCCGCGTTCGAAATATTGCATGTAACCTTTACCCAGCGGGTTTGTGCATCGGGCCTGGGGGCCATCTTTATGCGGGATTTTGAAGTATATATTTCTTCTGTCGTCCCGCAACTGCTGAGACTTCTCTTCGGTCATGTCACAGAGTACAACCGGCTGATTCTCGTATTTCTTAGTCTGGTCACGAGGAACGCGAAAGGTCCAGCCGTGCTTGTCAGACCAAATGAGTGGGTATCCATCCCAAGACAGCTTGAGCAGGATGGGCGCAATCCGAGTTCGCACCGTCAAATTGATATCCGCGTTGCTGCTGGGGAAAAGATCCTTGTACCATTTAGGCATGCCTGGTTTCTTCTGTCGCGCCGCAGGGCGAGGGGGATCGCCCTTCTTCTTTCCTTTCACCATTTTGATCTCTTGGCCGGACCAGTCCAGCTGCTGCAGCCAAGGATCATTTGTATAAACATCTGGCTGATCTTTGCTCTTCAATGCTTCGTTACATAGTTCAACAAGTTTGCGTTGGACATCATCGAGTCGTTTGTGGTATGTTTCCTCAGCTCTGGCGAGGTATTCTTGCCAAGTCTGATTGACGGGAAGAATGACCGAGGACAAATGTCGTAGAGCACCAAAGCTGACAGGGTGGGGGCAAGTCTCCAGGAAATTGGGGAAAACTTTCCGATAGACTCGGTGGGTAATGGCCACATCCGCAGCACAGTAGTCCAAGAGCTCCTCCAATTTTGCCAACAAGCTCTCTCTGTTAAGCTCGCCAAAGAAATCCCTCTGTGCCTTGTCAATGGTCACATCGCAATGAAACTTTGCCACGTCCCGCAAGGAATTCACTGAACTTCGACCAACCCATAATTCTTCTTCCTCCTCACGTAGCATATTATTCTCCAGCAATGAAGCGAGTTCGACAGAATTGTGGTCGCTGGCAATTTTGTCGCGAAGGTCCTTGTTCTTCTTATGACGCATCCAAGTTGGCCTCTGCTGCGAACACATTCCATTTACGGCGACGTGAAGTGACATTGTGTCGACGAAAAAGTTGTGCGATTGGCGCATGTCGTATTCCTCGAGGACCCGAGCACGATCATATCCGATGTTGTGTCCTACCACTATCCTAGGCTTTGACGGGTCACCCAAAGGAATGAGGTGTATTTTCTCCTCCGTTTCACCCAGAAGCCACGGCGATAGCCATGCATACCAAGTCGTTGGGCTGACAGCACAAGCCATGACTGCGAAAGAATTGTCCTTATACATGACCTCCGTATCGAATGTAAGCATCTCCTCATCCGGGGCATCCACGGGCTCTGAGGAGCCGTCTGGGTTGTATTTGGTCCATCCACTGCGTTTCACCCACTTGCGCGGTTTTGTCGGACAGTTCACGGCTGCATAGGACTTGGCGAAGGTCAGATATGGTTCTGATGCATCCATTCCTAGCTTATAGAAATGTTCATCTAGAGTCTGGCCCTGAAGAGGGGGCAGATCAAATGCGATGGGATCCGCTGTTTGGGACTTTCCGAGGAGATCGTGCCTGGTCAGGTGGTCCCTGGACAAGGCAACGAGTTCGGGATCCGGTACGCGGGCCTTAATGGGAAATACTTGAGGGTATACATAGTCGCTTAACTGCTGAACACCGATTTCGTTAAACCTAGGTAATGCGGGGACTTGAACTCGGTCAGTGATTTCGTGCAATCGAGCGCACCCTAGCCCTCGACGAATAGCAAGCAACGCACCTTGAAGAGATCTTTCAGGCGATGACGTATCATTGATAGCGAGAGAATAATGGCGTAAAAGTCGGCTGCGCAGAGAAATTTGCCATGGCTGGGGATGGAGGGATACTGGTCGCAATTGCACGCGCGCAGATTTGACGAGCCCCCTGGAAGGAGAGCAGGAGAGATTCCACGATAACATGGTCTGTGGACATGGATTCAATATGGTAATGGGTCAGGTCATGGTATCGTCAAGGCGACTGCAGCCCAGGGCTGCGCTTTGCTAATTGTGAAGATGAGGTGGTTCGTGCTTTTTGGGAATTTCCATATCACTCCCTATCGCATCTGAGCGTCATATCCGGTGGTCGGATTATTAAAGGTCCGCCACCATTTATGTATGCAGCCAAATAAAGTTTAGCGTCTTTACGGCCGTGAACCTTCACGTATCACGCTCCATATTGGCACCCTCGAGGATTATTTGTTGACGAATCAGATGCCCAGGTCAATACAAATTGAAGGCTCCAAATATAAATTGTGCTGGCTGCTCACGGGTAATTGAGGACGTCATGGCTTATTAAGTATATTGCAATCCCGGAAACAGAAGATAGGTCGCCTGAACAGGCGTAACTACAGACTACAGAATCATCTTTATATGGTCTATTAGGAGTAAATAGTTCTCTTGAGCAAGTCGTGCCAAATTTGCAGCTTTGTGCGGCACTGCATCAACTTGGATGTCGGAGATGAATCCAAGAGCCCGACTACCTTCTGTGAGGTGATGGGCTTGGACTGTATTGAGCGCGGTCAACAGAATTTTTTCCTAGGTGGTCGAATTAGCACTCTCGCCCGCCGGACTTGACCACCGCTTAGCGCTTCACCAAGTTCGCACTGAGTTACGCCACCAGAAGTGTTTGTCGGCTGCCGCTAGTACAGCGAACTATATGGGTGCGCTCCACATCACATAGACAGCGGGCAATGATATATCGCCACACCATCTCAACCTCCACCGCCTTCTTATCGTTATCGCGATAACGACTCTACACTTTCTTGCTCGACTTTTGCCCCACATCCCCATATATCACCTTGATCTAGCTTTCACGCCGATGAATCCGCGTTAACCTTCTCCAACTATAGCCCTTCCTCTACCATTTGGGCCATTCCGGCCAATTCTTATAACCTCCAAGAATTGCGATCAAGGCCAGCTCAACATGAGTCGTCAAAGTTCTGTGGTTGATTTGACCCCACAGACACATCAGAGGCGAACCTTTGCTGGTCAATCCAACTCCCAAGACGTCCCCTCATCGCTCGACCGACAGCCAATATCACTTGAGTCACCGCCAACTTCAGCCCGTGGAGTCAAGCGCCGTCGGATTGCAACTGAGTCCTACTCTTCCGACGAAGATTCCTCACAAGATGGCACACAATTTGACTCTGTCGATTTAACCAGTCCCGAAATACCAGCACTTGCGACAGCACTTGCCAAACAGAGGCAAGATGCTATACAGGCTCAGCAATCCCATGATGAAGACAAAAGCATGGGATTATTGAAGGCTTACAGGTGCCCCATCTGCATGGATACACCAGAGAATGCGACAAGCACTATTTGTGGTATGTTTTTACGATGTCCACTGTTTGCCTTGAGGGCTTTTCTCACACCCGTTCCCGTTTAGGACACTTGTTTTGTCACAGCTGCATTATCGAGTGCTTGGATCGTACCGTTGAACTAAACAGGCAGATGCGGACTACCTGCCCTGTGTGCCGAAAACCTATCACCAAGAAAGACATCAGTGGCCCTCGCCGCAACCTCATCCCTCTTCAACTCAAGTTGATGACCAAGAAAAGGACATCTTCAGAATCGGCAGAGGCCTAGTTATCGACTTATTTCAATATCGCATTTTGGAGCATCAAAGAGGGTGGCGTTTATTTTACCAAGGGCGTTGATCTTATTTGCGGTACCAGCTATACGAATAATGTTTACGAATGCAATGAAAATCTGGTGTTTTCTTTCAAAGTTTATTTTTGAGATCTTGGGTATAGGCATCTGTAGCCTGAAGGACATTTTTTAGTCTAAGTCCCAGCTGTATCATATTTTCGAATCCTTGAAAACTGCTTAACATGGATTATGTTGATGTTCTCAGCAGAGTTGGCTTATCTTGATATATGGCAGGGAAGTCAAGTGTTAGCTTCAGAGTTTTAGAGAAGCATTTGACAGCAGGCACGCACTGAGCAAATACCTCTTACCCTTAAGCAACCCACTCATAATCCACGAGAGGAAACTCATCACTCCTCGCAAATGCACTACCGAGGAACCTGTGCATAATTTCGAAAAGCCTGGACCAACAAACAAAAGCAAAAATTCAGTTTCGCAACCATAACCCCCAGGCTGACGGGGTGCAAGAAGTGTGGGGATCAGCGGTGGTATCTTTTGCAAATCATTAATGAGCGGCCTCAATTGTGTCTCATAGCCCCGAAGTGCCGCGTCAAGATTCCATTTGTGCTTGCAAACCTCACCGGCTAACAAATAGGCACCGACCATGGCGAGGGTTGTACCAGTACCAGTAGGACCTGGTGCGTATCCCGCATCCCCCACAAGAACAAATCGGCCCTTGAACAGAGTCGGAAGTTTGACCTGAACCAACTCAGTCGCATAAAGTCGTTCGACATCAACATACATTTGAGGGCCTCACTTGCCTTCCATCTTACGCCCTGGTAGTGCTGACAAATGTACTTCTTGACCGCATCTTCCCCCTCCTTCATGGCCTTCCGAAAAGGTAATATGCTTTCAGTATCAGAGCGTGGATTGCAGCCCATAAACGAGATTCTTGACCCTCCAGCCGCATCAGCTCCAATGGCCATAAAGCAGCCCCCGGCAGCACTATGTGCTTGTCCAATCTTTGTTTCTTGGCCGAGATCATTCTCAGTACTGAAAAATGATATCCAACTATGGTCGAGACGATGTGATCGCGAGAACCGCAGCCGAGACCGACGGATAGAGTCCTCGAGGTCGCTTCATCGCATGCAACGACAAGGTCGAATTGTGCTGTTGGCAGACTGCCTGTGAACTCGACTGTGACAGGCCCATCCTCACGAGGGCTTTGCTGGATAGAGGCGACTTGCTCGCCAAAAGCGTAGTTGACATTCTGGTTGTCTTGGGTCATATTGTAAAAGATCTGGAATAGATCATCTCATAGGATTTCATATTCAGAAATGAGTGATTGTTTGTCAGGATTCCCTGTTGGCCTGATAGTTCCGTATGCTCGGCCCTTGGAATCGACAAAGCTGATGCCCTCGATCTCTGCTTTTCTGGCTCGAACGGCGGCTTCCATTCCTGGCATCCTTCGCATGACAGTGACACCGGCCACCCGAATATCAGCGTTATGTCCAATTGTGCGTAAAGCTGGGAAACGCTCAATCACCGTCACGTTGGCTCCGGCTTTGGCGAACCAGTACGCTGCCGTTGGCCCAGCGATGGAAGCACCCACTATGAGAACTTTTAATTGAGACATTAGGTAGTAGTTGAGATGCAAATTTACGAAAGAATTAGAGCTATGGGGAGGGGGGGTGGAATACTATTTACTCACGCACCTTTTAATTCTATGGCCGGGCTCGGGGCCACTAGTGCTGACGGGGTATACATCTCGGGCGGTAGTCGGGCCCGCAAACCCCGAACTTATGCTGAAACCGGGTTGAACATGAACCTTGATCAAGCCATTTCAGGATGATAACTCAAACTCGTACCTCCGCCCGGGAACCGGCTTCATTTCACTACTTGATTTTTCAGCTCATTTGGGACACAGCCCGCTTGAACGGGCAGTTTTATTGCGTCCATTCGTTATCGCAGATTATATATGTATTTACCCTCAAGGAACGTATACCAGACGCAAGAGGATGCAGCATGTGCAAAGAATATGCTAAAAGACATGAAATTAATTATGCGTACGAGGCCCAACCTAGAAAAAAAAAGTCAATTCCACCTGCGACTTAAAAGCGGAGAGAAAACATACCACAATACAGCATAGCAAGATTCCTCTCATCCGTTGCCTGCTGGATAAGCTCATTAACAGTTGCAGTCACGCTGAGTGTCTTACTCAATTTCTTTGCCACCACTGTTAAAGCCCGGTCAGCCTCGCTTGGTTCATTTGACGGGGATTGATCCGTTGTTCCTGGCAAAACAGGAAGCCCGTCACCCGCTTCCTGGTTATCCTGCATCTTCTTCATTCGCAGCGGCGACACAGTCCAACTGTACAATGGATCATAACGAAGCACATCAAGAATAGTCATAATACTATATGACTCTTGTCGGAGTGCTTCCAAAGTAAATTCACAGCATCGCCGGAAGATGCCCTCTGTCTTGGTGATACCAAACCCGTCGACAAGATCCCGAGTCAGTCGGAAAGGCACGACTTCTGGAACGGGAAGAATTCGCCCTTGTTCAAATGCAACGCCCAGATCAATGTGCACTACTTCACCTGTCTTCTCATCCAACAAGATGTTGTGTCCGTGCCGATCACCAAGTCCCAAGATGTGACCGAGAATAGAGATTGCGGCAGTACTTCTGGTATAAGCAAGGCGTTTGCTGAACCAGTCATCAGGGTTGTTGAACTTCTCCATGAAGAAATATTTCATCACTGGATGGAAGTGCTCTGTCACTTGACGGTACGTCCTCACTCGTTGCTCAAACGATCGATTCTGCACGTCGGCGATATGTTTTCGACAGGCACTGGGCTTCATATCCTTGGGGAAATAACGTTGATGTGCAGGCATCAGATAGTCGTGCAGGGGTATAGTGTTAGGGACAAATTCGATTATGCCTGCGTGGAGGGTCAACGGCAACACCTTGTAGGTCCTGATTACTAAATTTCGCTGGCGGGTTGGCTGGTGATCATGCAGAACACTGCTGACTTGCTCAAAAACTTGTTCCATGATCGCGTCTTGACGAAGGTCATCATTTCCTCCTTTGTACTGAACTTGTGTTAGTAGATTGATGATAGGAATGGGAATGGCTGACTCACCAGTTGCTTATAACGGACACCATTGGTTGCGACGGCTGTAACAATCTTGGGAGCGCTAACACCAGATGCAAGTGTGAATTCAGAGGAAAACTTAGCAACCGTAGGGACCTTGCTATAATCTCGATCTCGCCGGAGCTCAATTTTCATAGTTGGCGGTGGTAATCTGTATGTGAGTACATCTTGTCCAAGACGCTCTCCAGTGGGAAGTTTCTTCAGAGGAATTTTGGCACCTGTTTTGAATTTGGGGTCTGGCTTCTCGACTGCAAAGCGGACGTAGGTGATATTCATATTATGAACCGCCACCCAGGTCGGTCCCATCTTACTATCGTTCTTTAAACGATCCACAAGCTGGTTTGCGGCACGGAATCGAGAATGAGATGAAGGATCTTTTCCTCCCTTGGACTTGCTACTGGCAAATATCTGATACATGCCGTGGAATGGGTGTTCAACGCAAATCTTGTACACGAGCCCATCAAGAAGCGCCTGGAATTCATCGGAGACATCAAGTAGGCGAGAAGAGAGCTGATTCATGAGTGGCGCGAATTTATAGCTCGGCACTTCATGGAGATGTTTAGAGACGGCCACATTGGCAATCTTGCTATCAGACTTGTCTAGCCAGAGCGCACAGAATCGGAGGATATCGTTGTGGTAAGTATCACTCTCTTGCAAGGCAAGGAGATAGTTCTCAAGGCACTGTTGCAAGAAGGCTTCTCGACTTCGGAGCAAACGCTGGTATTCGCGATCATCAAGATCGAACCATTGCTTTGCCTTTGAACGAAAAACTTTCAAAGAGTCCTTTTCCCGACCCTCTGCATTTTTCATCATATCCTCGAGGCCTCTAAGCTCTTTCTCTTTACGATCTCGCAGTTGTTCCACTCGCTTGAAGTCTTCCAGTCCGTCAGCGTTCAGGAGCTGCTGGTCACAGAAAGATGCGAATCCATGATACACTCTCCCAGCAGTTTCTCCTGCGGATTCACCTTTCAGTTCTCTGACTGCGGGAGAGAGGTAATCTTGAAGGATCGATTCTGGCTTCTCCAGGCGTGCTTCGGCGACATGATGACCCTTGATGTCTTATATTAGAAATTTGAATTTGAGTTGGTTATAGGGTAAAACTCACCAAAGTGACAAGTAATTCGGGGCGGCTAAGTGGAATCGCTTGCTTGTGTAAATCACCCTGGCCTTTCAGATGTTGCAGCATTCGAATGGATGCAGTCATCTCCCCCTGGTCCCAGAGCACATTAGCGAGATCAAACTTGATTGCCGCATCAATGTTCATCCCCAGTTGAGCAGATGGTTCAGCCAGCCTTGAGAGGCTGATTGCTGATTTCAAAGATGCCTGTGGCACGGCATGCTTCCTAGTGATTTCAAGGGATTGACGAAATACGAGTGCTTCAAGTAGGCGTGCTTCCGCAATGTTCATCTTGGTTGTTGACTTCAGCAGGTCACTTTTCCTGATTGAAGAGAATAATGCCTCGTGCCAACTCAGAACCTCTCCAACCTCGTGATAACTAGTCTGGTTAGCATCGGTTTCCACATACCGGTTCAAGGCATTTCGTCTAGGTTACCTTTCGGTTTTCAGCCAGCTGCTGCTATCTTGAATCCGCTTCCACTCATTCGTCATCTCATCAGAGGATGATGACTGAATCACATCATTCATCTCTGTCATAATGCCCAGGGCACGCATGGTTTTTCTGATCTGGATTGCGGACCGCCCAGTGTCGGTCAAGGAGTTTAGAGTCGTCAAAAGACATTTCTCAATACAATCAAATACTTCTGGTAGAGAAGACGAGGTGTTGAGGCTTTGGAATGCACGAAACACTGTGGCTGACGGAGACGAATCCAATGGTGAGACAGGCACATCCCATTGTTGCAGGCTCATTGCTCCTTGAAGCATATTATCCGTGGAAAAAGGGATGTCTTTTGTTACCCCTCCGGTAGTTAGCATTGTATTGGCAATTCCCTGTAGGTTTGCAGCATTCAAGGCTTTCAGCACCCCGGAGGGATTCGCAATTCCAGAAACCTGGATTTCGCTGTCATACTGTGCACTCTGAAACAAAAGATTCTTGAGTCCGGAGCTCTCGTACTCTAATCTTTCCATAACAGTGGTCAGGGAGGAGCTTTGCTGGATCCCGTAAAACAAGTCCGGATCATCCACGTTCTTGAAAATGTCATGGAGAAGGTCCAATGGTGGTTCATATTTCACAACAGATGAACGACGTGAGCCTGCAACAACTCTACTTGCTTGTATCTCAAGAAAAAGAAGCGCAGTCTTCTGTAATCCACACTGATGCGCAGCAGAAGAAGCTTCTCCAAAATCGACATCAAGCCACATATCCCGCTCGACGATGGTTGATTCATCTGGGACAGGTTGATTGCGAAGGTAAAGAATGCAATTGATCACGCTCCGAGCATGAGGCATCGTTTCGACATGCACTTCGCGCAGTATTTGTTTGAAAATCTCAGAGATATCCTGTCGAATCTGCCCTTTCTTGTCTTCTGCGAGTAGAACGTCATGGACTATATATGGCAGTAACTGCACAGCCAATCCAGGAATCGAATTAAGAATCTTGCGTAGGGAGCCGATAACCGGATCATTCAAGGAGACATTACACAGTAGGAGGGAAGTATTGCGAGCCCAGTCAATCACAGAAAGCCCACATACACTCGCGTCTGCTTTGGTACAAATTTCGAGCTCTGATGCCGAGAGGGTGAGATCAGGGCAGGCGTATGGATTCCAGATAAGGGCTTTCATCAAGCACTCAGGGATGACTTCCGCGCAGCCTTGGAAGTCTGGAAGCTGAGCAATCTTGTTGAGAATCAGTTGGAGGGTACGTTCAATCAGACCAGCCTCCACATGATTGTGGGTGGGTAGCTTCTCGCAAAGGATTTGGAGGATGCTAGCCTTGGAGTGACAGAGGTTGTCAAGCTGGTCTTTTATGTCAGATACCTTGAAGAACGAGATTTCTTGCTCCCTTAGCAAGCTTTCGTCTATCTTGCCTGTAGCAGCAAATGAACGTCCGATAAGCCGAGCCGCCCATAAAGAATACTCGGGTCCGCTGTCAAATCTATCCACGGTATCCCATAAGGAAACAACGTGAGATGCTGATTCGAGATTCAAGTCGTCCTTTTCCAACGGCCGCTTAATTTCAGGGCACAGTAGGGATAACACATTGTCACCAATCGATTTGCTCAGCAAGGGCTGCGCAGATTCGCGGTCTTTCAGCACCTCGAGAACCAAATGTTTTTCATTCTGACCATTCGATGAATCAGCGACAACTGAAAACTGTTGCGCAAAGTTGAGAAGTTGAGAGAAAGACTTCTGGCCGTCTGCACTCCAACTGGAACAATCATAATCTCTAATCAGATCACAAAGCCAATGGTGGAATGATTGCGCGTTCGCAAGCACTGTCCTAAACTGGCTCTCCTGTGTTGTGCTCTCTGGGGATGATGTGAAAAGCTTGCGGAGTGTGACGAGTATGGATATACAGATCCCTGCCATGAACCCGGGAGCCCGGGTCAAGTATGCTTTGCCGGCGTCCAGGAGATACCAAATAATGCCCAAGACATCTTCGCAGCAATGGATATCAACAAGGAATGGTCGCAAAGCATGTAAGAGCATCTCAAGCGGATAATCATCGAGTATTATTGGGCCAGCCAGACAAACCAAAATCTTGATCTTTCGAATGACAGAACACGTATGTAGCGATCCCAAAGCAGGATGAATCGTCTCCAAAAGGGACCTGCACACGAACGAGACCAAAGTTGGTGTCCATATTGACTCGAGTTCAAATCCTGCACGGTTGCAAATGAACTCCAGCTCGTCCAAGAGATAACGAGCTCGAAAAGATGGCTGCTGGTTTGCGGGTAACGAACTCTGAGGATTGCATCTACTAGCGATTTGATTCTGAATATCAAGGGCATAGCGAAAGGCAGAACGTTTGCTATATGCTCGCTCAATCTGATCATATCGATCAAGCGCCTTGAAGAGGTTGGCAATTATTTGAGGGAACTGACTTTCCATTTGGAATAAGAATCCGGGGGCCCCAAGCAGCTTTCTTAGCCGAATCTCCATACCTTTCGGCTGGCTACCCTGTTCTGGTGGAGTGCTGATGTCACGAGCAACACTGTAAGCTTCTGCTTTGTGAAATGACGTTTCCAGAAGCTTGAGGTGGGGCTCTTCGAGAAGAGCTGCGAGTTCTTGCGTTTCCGACTCTTTGGCACGCATTATCATCTGCCCAACGAGTTCTTCTTTCACGTCCGCGACCATTTCTCTGAGACTCCCATATCCAAACATGCTGAATGGCATTGAAGTGATTGCCTGGGTCTCTGTCCATGTGTAGAGTATCTGGGACGCAAAAAGTCGGAAGAGCTGTCTGCCGTCTTCTAGCCCTCGGGCCCTCGAAACGAACTTCATACATTTACGGGCATACTCCAAAGAGAGCGGGACCTGGGCCGGTGTTTCAAACATATGGTAAATACTTCTTCTTAGCAAAGTGTGCCATTCAGAAGCCAACAGTGACAAGACAAGCAGGCGAAGAGCAATCCCTTCGATCCAATCTGGATCTCTAGGTAGACTTTCCAACACATCGTCGAATATCGCATCGTGATCTCTGAGAAGAAACCTTTCGAAAAGAGTCGGAATAAAATTGGCAACGCTGAATTTGACTTGAGCATCTCCCTCGTGGAGAATTGTGAATAGACTTGTTCGCGGTGATTGAAGCGATTGCTCACTACCATGTGAAGGGCATATATCAAGTACCGCCTGTATTAATTCAGACATCAAGATATAAACCCTGGGTGACGCTCTCTTCCGAGCGAGGAGGACCTCCATGAACCAAGTATACAGGTCCATGGCTGAATCATTCAGGGTATCGCTCTCAGTTCCTGTCCAACATGCAACAAGGCTGGTCATCATACTAATGCAAACACTATGAGATGCTTCACAGCGTTCCATTTCATATGATTGAAGACACGTCTCTCCAGTCTCTTCAATCACGCGGAGGACGTCGTCTCGCCCCATTTTCGAACAGCCATGGTAGGCCTCAGGTAGAACGTGGCGCGCAGATAAGAGGTCTGCTTCATCCAGGCTAGCCATGTATTCAGCCAGGCTCGAATGATTTGATGATGCATTGTAGGGTGTGGCAGGATGTAGTCTGAGCATAATAGAAAGTTGAATGGTCAAACAGCGTTGGAAAGAGACCGATTCTGAAAATAGAGGGACAGATTCTCGATTCAAAGAAAGGATTATCTGTTCAGCGGATTGCTCTTCGCCGGTTGATGTCAGTTGATCATCCAAGTCCATGAGGTCTTTAGAAGCAAAGCGGTGGTCTTTCTGTTTCTGGCGCAATGTTTCAAGTATGTTCGCGAGCGGAGCAACAAGCGATAAGAGTCCCACCCAGACAACAGACTGGCCGTCGAGATTTGACGTTGAAGGAAGTATAGGCGATAATAGTTCAAGGCACGCCTGCATGAAGTTGGATCCATGTGCTGCCAGGAAATCACATATGCCACACCAAAGGATTTGGCAATTCTGCTGCGTTTCTTGCACCTTTGGGGCCAGTTGCGGAGGTATACATGCCACGTAAAGACCAGAGATGATACAGAACGAGACTGCGATTTGGAGAAGATCAGCAGTGACATGATATGACTTATCTTCGGTCATTGTCTTCCAAATTTGGAGAAATGCCTCCGATTTCGATCGTAGGAGCTCCAGAATGACTTCATCATCAGGTTCTGCCCGGTTCTGCAGCTTCAAACTCCACGCCACATTTCGGTCCCATGGTCTCCAGCGTCCAAAGGAGCTTCCGACATTGTAAATATACTCCAGAATCCCTCGGTTCTCGTGAAAGAAGAACCAGATCTTGGTGATGTTACCTGAGAGGCCCGTTTGTGGGAGACATGGAATATCAAAGGGTCGGTTCGTACATGCCATAAAAAGATTAAGCAGGTCCAATGGGCGGGCAAACATAGCGATATTGGCCATTTGAATCCGGTCTGTCACAGCACCTAAAGTGAAAAAGTAAGTTATGGAGCATGGCAGGGGTATAGATTCATACCAATTGTCCAAACCTCTCTCAACCAATTGCAAACTTGTTTAGAAGAATTTTGGATTGAACCGGGGTTCAGTTGCGCTTTCCTCTGGGTAATCAATGACCACAGCTCTAGGGATGAATCAGAAATAGTAGAAGGCCCGTTGAAGTTTATAGACGAGAGCAACGATCGTACGGTTTCGGTCGCTATCGAGTGATCTAACAATTCTGCTTCCAAGATGGAACTGGTCAACTTGCAAGCGGCCCGCGATGTGCCAGATGAGGAGAATGAACGGGTTGTAAGATCTATTGCTCGTGACCAATGGGCCCTTAGAACGGATATTTTCGCGTCTGATCCCTTCGCAATGCTGATTGGGTTTTCTGCTTAGCTTATGAGAGTATCTGGGCAAAGGTTCCATACATACCTAGTCAGAGCCAACATAGTCCAAGAAGATACAGTCGCACTATCATCAAGCATGCAGGGAACTAGTCGCTGCGTAATAGCCTGCTTTCTTTCAACATCCAAGTTCCTTTCGAGGAATGGAATTAATTGCAATGCACAGATCCTTCGTGTGCCAGTTGCCGACGTAGCATCTCGAACAATGTCTTCCATCACTGAATTGACTCGCTGTCTTTTGTGCGATGTTTCGTGGTCGGATTCAGAGCTCGGTAATTTGTTTGCAACTGTTTCTAAAAGCTTGAACAGGTTTGCAATTACCCACATAGTCGTCCAGCCATGTTCCGAGCGGGTATTTCCGAGGCGAGGGCCATAAAACGATGTGTTGCTATCTACCGTGGTGTGATCAAAGACAATATCGTCAAGTTGCAACTGGTCTTTCTCAGGTCGCTTCACATATTCGGAATGCAGAGAGTCGGCCAACCTCTCTATCAAGTGCATCAATGATTCAGTCGGGTTCTTGGCAGCCGAATCGACCAGAATGACCACGCACAGCATCAAGGTAGCGAGGAGCTCGTCTTTCAGGTTGTGGAATTTGGTGGTCCATAGACGTCGGATTACCGGGATCAGGGTCAACAAGGATGATCGAACCAGCTCGGATTGATCGAAAAATACTTTTGAAAGGACTGTATTGATGCTATTGAATGCCAGCTGGTGAGCATTTCCAACCATCATGGATGGCGACTTGACGAACTCCACCAGGCCCTGGAGTAGTTTTTCGGCCGCAGCCTGCACGGGGGCACTGGGACTCGCAGTCAACAGTTGGATGCATGCTAATGTCTCCCCGATATTATTTCTATCGCCCATAAACTTCTCTCTCTGGGTCGGGATTGGGGTCATCCTGAATGAGCTTGAGGGACTGTCACTACCATCAAGTGCCTCTTCCGGGCAAGAACGATGACCGCTGCGAATGCTGAGCTGATTCTCATTCCCGTCTTCCACTTTGATGGCTGCAAGGCAGAAATCCATGAGATTCTCCCATTCTGCATCGCCGAGATGCTCGGTGTGGGGAGAATGGCGTAGCAAAGATACCAAGCATTTCGTATAGTCGACGCTCAAAGGCTCCCATAGATCTTCTCCTGGAACTGGTATGGTCTCGATAACATGTTCAATTATCGCACGGACAGTTTTGGTTCTCAGGTTCCGCAAAAAGATATCGACTGCAGTCCGAAGCACTGACGCGCATGTTGACAATCGGGTACTAGAAGGGCTCTTGGAATTTGATCTTTTGGCGCGATGATATATTGATCTTTCTAACGCAACAAATCGAAACAATGATTCAAAGATCTTGTGGCAGGCTTTATCGCTGAGGTCCAGTCTACCGTTATTCGGCCGCAAATTAGCTATCGGTTCAATGGGCGCAGGTGAATTTTGTCGCTTACAGCTTTGAGCCATGTTTATTTTGCTGGAATATGTGTTTCAAATCTAATCAACTAATTAGCCATAGCTCAATTAGCAAGGCGATCTTAGAAAATCCAGAACCAACCTGCTAGGCCATCACCTCGGTCCTTCTGCTTGTCTGACGACAGAAGCCCAAGTGCTTTGTCCAAGAATATCTCCCCCATTGTGTTGGAGATACACTCGCGAGAAGCTGCAGTGGTCCGTAAACATTGGAAGCCTGGCGAATTTTCTTTTCGACAACGAAACTCCCCTTTTAGGCTGCGATCATCGAAATTCAGGAACGTAGTCTTGCGACGGTGTAGAGAGTTGTTTTGTGGAGCGGCAGAACTGGTGATCACCGCCCGGGATTTTTGATCGCGTTCCGCCTTTAGGAACAAACAGAGCTGTGAAGCTTCCGTTCCCTACAGATACCTACACCCCGCGCTGTCATGACAGAGCTCACCCGAAACCTCGCCGGGCTGCGAGGCCTGTATCAGGACCTCTCTGCTATCTCGGATTCTTCGCTGGGCAACATCGATCGCCTGGTTTACGAATTGGACGCCCATATTCAAGACTTCCGAAAACTCCTAGACAAGCCCACGAAAAACGGTACAAGTCGCCAACAAGTTCTTTCGGGTGAGTATTCACTGAACTCCCAAATTTTGGCTCCATTCTCAGTATAACATTGGCTGACCTGGGCTGCAATTATTTAGGGAAAATCACTGTTGCCGGTATACCACATGAAATCAACCATGACTTCCAGCAGGGCGCGCTACAGCTGGCCGACGCCTTGAACCTCGACGAGCTACAAGCTGCGGAGATGTTCTATGCCGCGCAGGATGATTCCCAGGTTTTGGACCGGCCTCCTTTGATCACCGCCATTATGCGATTCCACGAGCGACGATCTTTCCTCCTGGAATGTTTGCGTCTTATCTTCCGCGAGGCAAATGAGGTTGAGCGAGAGCGAACTTCAGCTATCCTGCATGATGTTCTCTCCGATATCTTGGAGGTCAAAAATAGCACCATGCAGAACGCCTCGCTTTTTGCAAGGAAAGGCATGCAGGCCATGGCCGACATCGAAACTTGGCTATTGCTTCTCGCGGATCAGATCCAAAAAGTTTCAGTCATTGGCTTCGGAGAACATCGCGAGATCATGGAGGCTATAGACTACCAGCGCCACAGTCTGCAGCAACAGCACGAATCGCTCGGCGCCATTCTCTTCTACCTGTTCAAAGGCACATACACAAGCTCGGAGGACTTTCGCGCTCTCGTCGCACAATTGAAAAAGTTGGACCGTTTTGATGGGCTATTGGTCCATTATATCCCCGTCGCGATCGCATCTTTCGTTCAACATGGATCTCCAGAAGGCTCTGGCGTACAAAAGGATGCTCGAAGTCTGAATGAAATTATTACCAGTACCAAGGATGGTCAGACCTGGAAATTACCCACCTTCCATGCTGCTATTATTGCTCTGTGGCTGTCGGTCTACAGTGGATGGTACTTTGATGATGGACCATCCTCCCCGGTTGTAGGTGCTGACCTGGAAAAGGAAGCGAGGGAACGCACGAAAACGTTCATGACTGCCCTTGACGACGGTGCCCTTGATTTCATGCTCGCAATCTGCTCTAGCATCAACAGCGAAGAATGGGCTGATCCAGCTCGAACTGAGCTGGTAGCCCTGCTCCTCAGAGAAAGTGTTATCACGTTACCAGAGCTTGATCCTTGCTCTGAATACATGAAGGAGCTTCTGATGGAAAATTTCGAGGTCTATGTTGAGTCATGCATTGCCAACATGCCGGATGCTGTTCGATTACTCAAATCCGAGGAAGACACACAAAGGTTGGACCAGATAACTGCTCTGAGAGATGGCCTAACATCAAGTCTCCACCGTGGCTTGGTGGAGGCACGAACTCACCTTGAGTCTCTCCTTATGATAATATCATTTTCCTTTGAGCAGCGGCAAGATGCTGCACAGGAATTTTGGGCGGATCCTGATGGCAATCTTTACGGCTTTCTCCAGTGGGCTTCCAAGCGTCAGACTGTTCCCCGAGTCAGTGCCTTTTGTGAAATGCTCTGCTCTATCTCTGAGGGGGAGGAAAATGCAATCGCCGCGCATCGGTTCTTATCTGAGGAAGATAAATTCATGGGCTCGAAATTGAAACGGTCAACAACAATGAACTGGATGCAAATGTTTGCTGAACTGCGTCTCTATGCCAACCGAGTTACAGAGAAGCCACAAAGTACTACCACCCAGCAGGGTATGGTGCGGGCTCGAAAATCTGAGCCCGTGGATATGAGCGAACCTGAGAGCCCAGTTATGTTGACTTGTTACCTCCGTCTCATGGGACATCTGTGCAAGCAAAGCGCAACCATTCGGGACTGGATGTTGCGGAATGAAAACTTCGCTGTTGTCGACACCCTTTTGAAGCTGTGCAGTGGCCCGATCCCAACACACCTCAGAGCGACCACCTTTGCCACGCTTTCAGCGTTAATGACCGATAAGTCGTTCGCCAATGGAAATGAAATGTGGCTTCGGGTGGACGAACATTTGTCTAGCGAGCTCCTATCTTCCTTGTGCATAGGTAAAGTCCCCAGTATTTCCAAGGGCGTATGGCGCCAGCAGCAGGCTTTACAGATGATTGGGGAGAGTTTTGATCAGACCAATGCGCTGGTTGGTTTGTTGAATTCGCTGATTGCCCCGGCCTTCGACGTGACGGACAACCCCCTGTCACTTTCTTTTCCGGAGTCATTGGGCTCGGCTTATCGCATGCCAGGCGTTGAGCCTTATATCGACTTCGTTTTGGGACATGCTGTTTCTCGCAAGATCCAAGAACTCAATGATTACCAGTCCAGTTTGCTCACTTATAACTGCATGGAATTTATTGTGACATGCCTACGGACTTTCAATGAGGATCTTGTCACCATTCTCAGCCAGCCATCGCACGCGTCTGATTCCGCAGCAGCAACTATAGCGCTTACCAGCTATGTTCGACTTCATCCCTTTGCTCGCGTAATGGAATGGCTTTTCAATGAAGATGTCCTCAAAGCCTTGTTTGCAAACAGTAACAAGGATGTTGCAGAGATCGCTCAGGCATCGTCCAATTCCGTTATGGTATTGACTCTCCTCCGCACTGTTGAGGTGATGAACTTGATACTGGATCTACAATCCACGTATTTCAATATTGTGAAGCCAATGGTTAAGGTCAACTCTGCACCGAACAAGATCAATGTTGCGAACTCGTCACTCGCTTCTTTTGAAGATAGCGTGCTGAACAATCTGGGCCTCGTGCCCTCGCTATGCCTCTATTGTGGGACAGGACACCAGCAACTTACCGTCACATCTATGACATTATTGGAGAAGCTCTCAAGCTCCCGCAAGCTGAACAAGATGTCGTCTCCTGAGATATCCCGGTGGCAATCCTCGAACAAGATCGTGGAGGTCCTTGCTAGTGAGGTGGATATCGATAGCATATCTCGTTCGCTCGTAGCGCAAATGGCACCGGACGAGAGGGAACTGGAATGGGGTGCTCAGGCGGCCGGTTATGTTATTCGAGAAAGCCTTCTGGCTCTATTGAACAGCTGCCTTGGAATGATCACAGATCGCCCCACTGTCGCGCATCTTCTACTTGGCTTTGGCTCTGTTGGCAATATGCTTGATGTACCATCAGAGGGCCTATTCGCAATGCGATCGTCTCTTCTACATGCTATCATCGACTTCCTACGTGACTATCCTGATGAACTCGATGGTACTATTGTATCATGGACCGTCCATCTCAAACGCGTTGCCTTTGAGGTTCTTCGGCACCTCTGGTCTTCAAAGCTGGCAACATACTTCACTCTTGGTGAGATGCGTATCAGTGGTTTCCTACCGCATATGTTCTCTGGACAAACCCTTGTCGGTCCTAACACTGCCTGGCATGGCTTTCCGCTGATGTCAGATGAGTTTTGGCTTTCCGAGGCCACATCGGCCTTGGGTGAATTCTTGCTTTACAGAAGCCATCTTTTCGCGTACGCTGCGACGGAAATCCGCGCGGCAGCTAAGGTCGGATCACCCACTCTTCAAGCAGAGACTCTCTCGACATTACTCGGTGACTCTGTCTTGGACAATGGCGAATCCATCAAAACCCACTCCGTGTTTGACCTCTTTGACTTTGCCGATCTTGAAGTCGCTCGCGAGTTCGATTTGCCGCAGCTGCAACTACTTGGCAACATTCCTTTCGATATCTGCGCCAAGAAGAATGAGGACTCGTTCGTGCTCTATAATGTTGCTGAGCTTGAGGAATTGATTCAAGTTGAGAAGACCAAGATTTTCGCCTATGGAGCGCCCCGGTCTCAAGACGAAGAATTGTTCAACAAAGAGGCGGATTCCCTAAAGGCAATCATCCATGCGACAAATCAGTCGCGTCAAATCCAACATAATCGTTACCTCGCCCTACGTTCTTGGGCAGAGCTTGTCACCACCATAGTCAGCTGCTCCGTCCTAGATGATTCAAACAGACCAACTTTCATCCTACACTCTATTCAACTCATTCTTCCCAAGTTGGAGATTGCCATTGAGGGAGACTCGCCAGAGGCGATCGAGCTAGCACGACTCGCTGAAACCCTTATAGGGAAACTCGCGTCTGACATGTCTGCAACCCCTGGCTCACAGAGCGGCGATGTCATTGACGAAAAATTGCACCAACTCTTCCAAGTCTCTATGCGGGGCATCACGTTGGCTACAGGAAATGTCTCACTGAGGGAAGTTCTCTACGGAATCTGTTCTCACTACATTACTCGCATCACAACATCCGAGTCAGTTCATGCCGGTCTGCAACGGCATAGCCAGCAAGTAATCAAGGCAGCTGGGCCTGGTCTTGTCGAGATCATCTGTGACGACGCCTACACTGGCCAGGAGGCCTGTCGAGCTGCTGCTTTGCTTCTTCTGAATTGTCTCGCGGTTCTGGACAGTCGCACTGATTGTGTTCTAGCAGAACTAATCTCACAGTCCAACTATCTGAGCTTATTCTTGGATGCCGTCAGATCCTTACCGCACGAACTACGCAATACCCCAGCAAACGGTAAGTTTTATCGCGACACAATATGTCAGTCTACAATACTCATCTGTGGTGTCTAGATACCCCTGCTCACTTGGCATTCTATGAATCCCTGCTGGCTTTGCTTCAGCAACTTTCTCAGACCAAGAATGGTGCCATCGTTGTTCTCAAATCCGGTCTCTTCGAGTCAGTGCGAGAGTCACAGTTATTCTCTGCTGATCCCGACATTGGCATCGGTCAGTTTGCTCTGCTCTAATTGGTTCAGCAAGTATATTTACTAACTTGATCAGATATTGATAACCCCGATTCCTTACGAAAGTTTTATGATCTCCTGCTATCTGTGATCCGTGTCATCGTATCTGCGGTCTTCTCCCGGGGAGTCCACAATGAGCAGATCAAGGCACAGACTCGGGCTTTCATCGCTGAAAACCGGCCATGCATGGTGGGGGTGTTCAAGCGATTTGCCAAGATTGGGGGCGATGCCCCAGCTGACCACCAGAACGCCTTGTGTGAACTTGTCAAGTCTTTCATGGCGCTTGTGGCAGCTTCTGACTACGTCGAATTTGAAGAATCAGAGGTCCAGCACACTGTTCGGCCTGGCTTGTTTTCATGACATTGAGAATTGAGATTGAAAAGTCGCGTGTCAACACGCACGGCAGGGTTCTGAGGGTCAATGACAGGTGTAACATACATAGGATAGGTAGACGGAGTAGGCTGCTTTCAGAGATTGAGCGATTTTAAGTCCCGTTTTATGAATCTATTCCACGTTCCAATGATTTGAAGCTTCTGCCTATCTGTTTTGAGGTCGCCTGGCCTTCCCAAGGTTTCGGCTCAAGGTACAAAATCCTGCCCACCTGGGTAGATACTTGTGCAATTCCAACTACCTTCGGGGCTCCGATACATACCTGGCAATGGATATATACTTGGTGGCTTTCACTGTACTTGTAGTCTGAGCTTATTCATGCGTCGCTCAATTGAGTAGTCGACATCGGTATCTGACACCTCATAGAGAATTGGCCTGTCTAGCCGAAGTCCAGTTGGAAGCCTGTGTTATCCCATAATTTAAGTTGATCGTGTGCCAAGGAATCACCATGTCACTATGTTCACTAAATCACATAGCTTCTGAATGAGGGAGGTATAGGAATGTATAAAGAATACCTCGTACACAGTAAACTCATAATCAGATTATAAGATCTCGTGGACTTGGTTTGTACGGAAAATTTTGGAAGTTTTTTATGATGAATGGGCGGCTTGGTGGTTCTTATGGCTTCAGATATACAGTACCATACTTTCTATCAAGGACGTTTTGAACAAGGATGATCTGCAGCTTGGTTGAATCTAGCCTTGCCGGTTTCTTTATCACCTTAGCGCTGGAGATGAATACAGTTTCTCTTTAAAGGAAAAGATGCCAATTCGAATATTGCTGTAATCAAAATGTAAATCGCAATACTCCAGTTGTAAAACGACGTCCAATCTCATTAAGTATTGCTAGGTAGAAATTGAAGAAGCCATGTTTTGACCACGCCATATTGACCGCTCCATTTTAACCACAGTGGGTTAACCGCCGGCCTTTGCGTCCGACTTTGACCCATGAAACGTCACTATAGAAGCTTAGAGGGCTGGATAGTTCAAGCCTACCGTTAGCACAGGAATTCTCTTTAAGAGGACTATGACGAGAATTTAGCGCCGACTGTGAAGCATCACATCAATTGGCGATTACAAGTCAACTCTTCGCATGCCGCTGATACCCTACTACACTAGTTAATTACAGCTAAGGTACTGTAGCCTAAAGATCAAGCCTTGAACGTGCCTATGTATGTGCGGCAGTGATGCGGGCCGCATAACTCCGCAAATGCTTAAATAACTTTTTGTCTTTGATTTTTTCAACCAGGAATCTGTTCCTTCCTAGTGGGTATAAGCCTTTTTACCGATAACATTTGCCTTTATTCTCTGACGTAGCTAGATTTCTCCGCAGGCTACGTGAGATCAAGGGTCGACTCCACGAGTCCCCCAGATGGCGCGGAATTTGGCCTGAGTTTGACATTACTACTTCGACGTCACTCAAGTAACTAGTGTGATATCAAATAATATGTCAGCTAAAGAATCCTAGATGCATATAATAAACAAGGTACGCTCAGAATGGTTGCAATAGATTTCCAAAGATGTCGCTTCCCGATACAACCCGAGCTTTCCGTCGTACCTCTGGGCCAATTCCCAGATCCTTAGAGCTTATTACAGAGAAGCTCCCAAGCACACTTCAACCTGACGAAGTACTTGTCCGTGTCCATGCTGTCTCTCTCAATTATCGTGATGTCGCGATGCTTCACGGAAAGTATCCAGACACTTCTATCAAGAAAGGTATTCCAGCTTCAGATTGTGCCGCAGAGGTTATCTCGACCGGATCAAAAGTTATCCAGTTCAAAGTGGGGGATCGTGTCGCGCCCATCTTCGACTTAAACAATCTTACTGCAACCGAGAAGAAAAAGGCAGCTCTATGATGTTGATGGTGTTCTTCGTGAATATGCAATCTTTGAACAAAAAGTTCTAGTTCATTTACCAGGATATCTATCTTGGGAAGAGGTTTGAGAACACTTCATGCCTCCTGGCTTTCACAAATACTGACGGCTATCTAGGCAGCGACGATCACCTGTGCTGGAACAACGGCTTGGAACGCCCTTGGTACGCCAAGCACCCGCGACTCGGGCAAAGTCGCACTACTGCAAGGTAAGTTGTTGCGGGCAAAAAGCAGATTTTCCACTTTAGCTGATCATCCGCAATCAGGTACTGGTGGAGTGAGCATGTTTGCTTTGCAGATTTGCTTAGCTGCTGGTATACGTCCTATCATCACCTCCTCTTCCGATAAGAAATTGGAAATGGCTCGCTCGTTGGGTTCACCAGGCACTGTCGATACCATCAATTATAAGACTCATCCAGAGTGGGAAAAGGAGGTCTTACGCCTAACTGATGGTAACGGCGCAGATATCGTTATAGAAAACGTGGGACCAGCCACCATTGTCCAAAGTCTTGCTTCACTGGCCCAACGAGGAACAGTGTCTTTAGTCGGCTTTCTTGGGGGTTTTGATTTACCTTCGCAGGCAGAAACGGCCACATCATCGGTCCTGATGAAGACCGCTAAGTTACAGTAAGTGACTGCCTTGCCACTATCTTTAAAGTAATCATAAATAATTTGCTCTGACTCTAGGGGAATCTTTGTCGGCTCCATAATCGACCAGCAGGATTTGTGCAATTTCCTCAATGAAAGACAAGTGGGACTGTCAGCTATCATAGATCAAGTCTTTTCGTTTACTGACTCGAACGCTGCCTTTGACCATTTGTATTCTGCCCAGCACCAGGGCAAGGTTATTATCAAGCTTTAGCTTTCAGCCACAATTGATACGTTCGAAACAATTTTACGTTGTGAATTGAGGTCATGGAATTATCTTTCCAATCAAGTCAAAATCTTCGAAACTTGCCATGATATACAAATCATCGAACATGTGTATGCTCAGTATCATTCAAACCATCTGGCTTGGCTGGACAGTAAGTAGCCAATCAAACTCACTATGCGCTTAGTGGGTGTGATTGGCTGCTCAATATACCATCACGCGATATCACTAAGCAGCTCAATGAGCCAGAGGCTGGACTGAGATCTACTCAGTAAGCCTGACTCTAAGTGTCCTCATAAAAGCGGCGGCAGCTACGTAAGGTAGGAAAGCCCCACCCAGGAGCGTAAATATGTTACGTAGAGGAAACTACTCATTCGAACAGCAACCTTGGATCTGCAGTCTTTTGAGAAAAAAAGCCGACCGGAGAAGAGCAGCTAAATACCAATCCAAAGAGTTATAAGTTTCCATTCAAACCAACCTCAAAAGATCGTTAATCAAAATTCCCGTCTGATTCAGGCATTCAGGCAACGGGCCTAAGCTCCGTATCTTATCGCCGTGCGGAGCCAAGTTCGCAGGGAGCAGTCAATTCCCCTCAAACCCAAACCCGCGCCTCTCCGCCCAGGCCCGGCAATGGTCGATCCATCATAACAATCTCTTCCTTGATAAGCGCTTCTCGCCAGAGTCGGACCGAACCGGGTAGATGCAGTCGAGCGGCGACCCCGAGCAGAGGAGCGGTAAGCGCAAATCGATCGGCAAGAGGAAGCTTTCTGATCAAGGAGAGCCATCGCAGCCACAGTCGCAGAGGACCATCTCCGAGCTTCTATCGAAGAACAAATATTCCCACGATTCACCGCCACCAAAGTCCTCCTCGACGTCTAAGCGTTCCCGCTTCTCCGTCTCCCCCCTCGCGCTCTTCCCCAGTCCACGCCGTCTCACCCAATAAGATGTACAACTTCTCCGGATCCCCGCCCAAGAATGGCGCTGCTTTTATCCGGGCTGTGCCTGCGGCTAACACTTCATCGGAGAAATCTGCGATGAACACTCGTCAGAACAACTTCAATCCTGGTGCTGGCCCCAGAAAGCTCGTCGTCAAGAACCTTCGTACTGGACCTCGGGCCAATCATGAGCCGTACTTCAACAAGATTTGGACACAACTGGATGGGGCATTGACGGACATCTTTGAAGATAAGAAGCCGAATATCTCGCTAGAGGAACTCTACAAAGGCGCTGAAAACATCTGTCGACAGGATGGCGCGACCTTGTTGGCAAAAAAAGTCCAGGACAGGTGCAAGGCGTACGTTGCAGGCAAACTACGTGATAATCTGGTGACAAGGACAGGAGGCGGTACGGATGTCGATACATTGCGGGCAGTGATCGAGGCATGGTCCTCCTGGCATACAAGACTAGTAGGTTGCTGGTACATCACATGAGATGTATCGTTCATGAGCTGACCTTAGAGCATTAGATTACGGTCCGCTGGGTCTTCTACTACCTTGACCAATCATTCCTCTTACATTCGAAAGACTTTCCGGTTATTCATGAAATGGGGCTTATCCAATTCCGCTCCTATGTCTTCGCCGACAAAAGCCTCAAGCCTAAGATTTTGCAAGGTGCCTATGACCTCATCTCCGTGGATCGAGGAGCGGAGACTAGAATAATGCCGGACAAGACTCTTCTCAAAAATGCTATGGAGCTTTTCCACAACCTCGATGTCTACAGCAGTGATTTCGAGCCATTATTTATCTCCAACACTCAGAAATTTGTGACCGCGTGGGCAGCCGAAGAATCAGAAAAGCCACTTGCCTCGTATGTCGAGCATAGCCACCGCTTGATCGAACGTGAAGTTGAAAGATGTGAATTCTTCTCCCTTAATCGGAGCACGAAGCAAAAGTTATCCGAACTCCTGGATATAACGCTGATTGCGGAGCATGAGGACGTTCTTCTCAGACAGAACGAGGTCATTGCTTTGATGCGATCGGAGAACAAGATTGCTCTGAAGCAGCTGTACGGTTTGCTCACTCGACGAGGCCTCGGTATCAAACTCAAACCAGCATTTGGAAGCTTCATCGTGGAGGAAGGCTCCAATATTGTTTTTGATGAACATCAAGAAGTAGTCATGGTCATACGATTACTCAAATTCAAAAAACAGCTGGACGAGACATTGTCTGATTCGTTCAACGGGGACGTGGACCTGGGCAACACTCTTCGGGACTCATTTGGTCAATTCATGAATTTGGGCAGGAAGTCAGAATCGTCCGGTGGCACCGACAATCCCAAGACCGGTGAGATGATTGCCAAGTACGTCGATCGGCTCTTAAAGGGTGGATTGAAGTCACTGCCACCTAGTCAATCAGACGCGCCTCTGGACGACTCATTTTCTGAAATGCGACGACAGCTTGACCAAGTGTTGGATCTTTTCCGATTCGTGCAAGGGAAAGCAGTCTTTGAAGCATTTTACAAGAATGACCTTGCTCGGCGTCTGCTGATGAATCGGAGTGCAAGCGATGAGGCTGAGAAGGAGATGCTTGTTCTTTTGAAGAAAGGTTTGAATTCACTCAAAATCTACTGATGATTACTTGGTTTTCTAACACGGTATTACAGAATGCGGATCAGGCTTCACTCATAACCTCGAATCGATGTTCAAGGACATGGAGGTAGCACGCGACGAGATGGTTGCTTATAATTCCATGCAGAAGCAGCTTAATAGAGATCGACGTCCGCCTATGGATCTGAATGTCAGCGTGCTCTCGGCGGCGTCATGGCCCACATACCCCGACGTTCCTGTCCGGATCCCTCCGAGCATTATGAGTGCTCTCGGAAGCTTTGAGGAGTTCTACCGCAACAAGCACAGTGGCCGGAAACTGACCTGGAAGCATCAGCTGGCGCACTGTCAACTACGAGCTCGATTCCCCAAAGGCGACAAGGATCTAGTGGTCAGCTCCTTCCAGGCAATTGTGCTGCTTCTATTCAATGAACTTGAGGGCGAGAGCTTGGGCTACAAAGAAATTCAGGAGGAGACAGGACTATCGGACCCGGAGTTGAAGCGAACCCTGCAGTCCTTGGCTTGTGCAAAGTTCCGTGTGTTGGTCAAGAAGCCCAAGGGCAAGGAAGTTGAGTCGACAGATGAATTCAGTTACAATCCTAGATTCGAGGACGCGAAGATGCGGATCAAGATCAACCAGGTGCAACTGAAGGAAACCAAGGAGGAGAACAAGACTACCCACGAGCGTGTGGCAGCAGACCGTCATTTCGAAACCCAGGCGGCCATTGTGCGCATCATGAAGAGCCGGAAGACCATCACGCATTCCGAGTTGATTGCGGAGGTCATCGAGGCTACTCTCAGTCGGGGTCAGCTCCAGCCTCCAGATATTAAGACTAACATTAACAAGTATGCTCTCGCGACTATTTTACCAAGAACATCTGCTAACATTTCTTCTGCAGATTGATCGAGAGGGACTATATGGAACGAGTCGAGCCCAACTCATACAGTTATGTGGCATAGTGCGGCATAGTGCGGCATAGATAGAATGGTAACATTAGTTTGTGAGTAGGGAGACCGCTACACATTTACCGAGATGGATCACTGGTGGGAGTACTGCTTCAGGACCTTGTCCCGTGTGCTGGCGGCTATTTACATCCTCTTTATCTGCTTTCCGCAATAAACTGGCTTTTCTGTCATCATGAATCATAGTCTATCCTCGTTAACCAGCGTTACAACCTGTAAGTTCCAAGGTTGAATGATTTTACACTCCAGAGTATGTTTAGAAAGTCGTTACACTTCTGGTCTTGACATCGATACTGTAACCTCCATGTGGGCGCCAGGTAGGTCCGTATAAATTTCTCAAATCAGTGCGATGCTACCTATCACTCCCATCTTTCCCATCCCACTACCTAAAGACATCCAAATCCCAGACATGAACGACATACATTGGTCGATGGCAAAGAGGCACTCATTCCAACGCCTCTCGGCCAACTTCGATCTTCGAACTGTCCTGCTGGCCCCGGCGATAGGCATCCACATCGCTAGCAGTTGAGCACTTTCTTTTGCTGTTCCTTAACTTGATATGGTTCTCCGTCAGATAATCATTGGCAACCTGTTCTGAGGTTGCTCGAAATTGAACAAGCTGCGTGTCAGACTCCCAGGGAGTCTGTTCTAGAATGGATGGGAGCTTAGATTCCGGTTTGATCTCTCTGCCAGGCTCTGTTCTGGAAGGGGGTATTTCATCAGGACTTGGCGACTCAGCCGGTTCCTGCTTCACAAATTTGTCGATGTACGCATCCACATCGTCGTCGTCATGGAGATCGGTGACATCCACATCTTTCGCATTGAAGTCTGCCTCGGTATCAAGCAAGTCGTTTTCATCGTCATCGCCATCGAAAGTGTAAGCTATTTCGGGCATTCCTGGCTTGGCATCCGAGTCGGCTCCCTCTTCATCGGGATCGGGAGAGGTATTAGGTAAAATTTGCAGCCTTTCTACCTCTCGTCGGCGCTCATCTGCCTCCTCACGCTCCCTAGCCTCAAACATATCCAGTGCCTTGCGTCGGGCTAGGGTGAGCTCTCGTTTCCTCTCTCTGTATGCCATGGCCTTGAGTCCATCCGCCGCTCCAAGACGGTAACTAAATGTGGATTTACCCCCTTTATAGTCACACGCCCACTCTAATATCTTGTTGTGTGCTACCTCAAATGCCCTCGCCGCCACCACAGTATTATTGGCAATCCCAAAGAAGGACCAGTCAATGTGACTGTAGTAATCTGTGGAATAGCACTTGCAGTCGTACAAAATGCTCATGGCCGAAGCCACCTTCCCTACGAAGGCTTCCATAATAACTTTGCTGGATGGGCCTCTGATCTTTGTAATGGAAACGACGCTTTTTCCGCCGTAGTGACCTTTGTTGTTGCTCGTATCATTCGCTATCAGATCCCCTTGGCTGATATTGTGCAGGCTCATAAGCTTTTGGGAGACAAAGAGAGCGGCTTTGGCTTCTGCCTCCGTTGTGTTTGGATGGCTAGCGCGATCGAGACATTTTTGAATCCTATCGAGGATCTTTTTGTCAACTGTTCCTGTTGTTGTTTTGCTTTCCTCGTCAGTAGCAGACCGAACAATGGTTGCTTTCTGGATAGGCTCTCGATTTGGCTTTCTTCGCTTCGCTGGTGGGGCTGTAGATTGCATTTTGGTGTTGGAAATTCGCTCAGTAAAATAAAGACAATGATAACAGAGAGAAGGATGGTTAGAAGATGAGTGAAAATATAAGGTTGGCCTGGCATAATGGGTGTGAAGCACACTTGGCTCGGACCGTCAGGGGAAGGCAAACAAAGAAAGTACGAGGCCAACTCATGCTGACAGGGTTGTCGGCACGCTTGCGCGTCCAAATCTGTTATCGATTGGTAAAGAATTGTTTGAACAGGGCTCAAAAAAGCAAACGACATGACAACTTTGAACCCGCAACGCTAGCTTACTTTAAAGAATGAGAAATTGTGCGGTCTTACCAGTCAGTTTCGAACAGAACCAAATACCTCCTAAGCGCCGCAATATATTCGCCTCCATTTTCTTCTAGTTTAACACCCCTGTAAAAAGACAAAAATGTTTGAAGGTGGAAAAAGAAAAAGAAAAAAATAATACCGAAACACGTCTTTCACGCTCATTACCCAGCCGCATCTTTCCAATTAAACTGAACTGTGTTCTAGGGCTGGATAACGCTCATTACTGTGCAAACTTGGCGAAGAACTACTAAAAGACGAACCACTAGGCCAGTAGACCTCATGACTAGACCTCATGGGCAGCTTGCACTCTTTGGAGACTGTAATTTTTGTGGTTTTATTTTCCCTATTGGATTCTACGTGCTATCGATGCTGTACCTTACTTCCTGAAGGTTATATCTTCAATTAGTGTACAATGAGGAACCAACAATCCTCTACTCGTTGCCTATGTGAGAAGAAAAGCTACACTCTACGCGAAAAGAAGGCGGCGGACCAAATGCTTTAAACAGATACGCTCTTAACTCCTTAATCTGTTTACATGGTAATTTTTCTCCCAGGTAGCTTTGCATCGTACCTTTAGAAGCCCCACTGGTTAATCCAATTAGACATCTGGGCGGGTGAAACAGGTCCCAACATTGCCATGGTCTTGCTCGCCTGCGTAACACTAATTTCCGCAGACAGCGTGCTATCAGTCGTGAGACCCCGATAAAATTGAAGCATCTTCAAGGCTGGCTTTCCAAGTACTTCCTGCTCGGAGGGGTCTTTGATCTCCTCAAGCTCATCGAGCCAGTCTTCAAGAGAAACCATCTGTACAGGGTACTTCTCCTGAGCAGTGGGGATCAGCGAGGACCACTTGCTGCGGTTGAGGTTTGTCAGATGGAAGACAGCATTGAATTCTTCTGAAAGGGCTGAGCGGCGCGTTTGAAGGATTTCGAGAGCGAAATCGGCCAATGCATTCTATTCACATTCGTCAATTTGATTTTGATAAGCCGGTGGAGTATAAGAGTAATTACCACAGAAACCCAATCAATAGCGTACCCACCCAACTCTGCGGGAACCCTGCCCATAGCCTTGGATGTAGCCACAAGGGTCGGAATCCACTCATGCGGGTTTCACAGTCCCATCCGGGTATCTGGACCGGTAATCTGACCAACCCGGAAAATGCTCGTCGGCACGCCTGCCTTGCGTGATGCCTCGACGCAGATACTTTCTCCTACAAACTTCGACTCGCCGTACCCTTGCTCGAGAACCTGCTCGATACTCGTCATGGGGACTTCAGGAACGACTGGGCCCATGGTATCAGACACCCAGCCTCCAACTGTGCTGACTGATGAGATAAAAGCGATGTGAGCGTTGTGGCGACCGTTAATGCTGAGGTTGACAAACTCGCGCATTCCAAATAGATGGGGGTGCTCGAAAGACTCGACTTTGTGGTTGAAATTCACCTTCCATGCATTGTGAATTATGAGGTCTACTCTCTCGAGAAAGGATTGGTACTTGGCAGATGGAAGGCCGAATTGCGATTCGCCAAAGGACACATGTAAAAATTCGACCTTGTTTGAGTCGAATAGGGGGGAGGCTGGAAGGCCTTTGGATTGAAAGCTTTCCGCCTGGCGAGTAGCGGCATCCTTAGTGCGGTTGAAGCAGTAGATTTTGAGACGTTTCTTTGGTTGAGAAGACTGTGGAGTAGATATGTGCCCAGGGAGCCGGTAGATCCGGTGAGAATCATAGTGGAAGCTTCGGCGGGCTGGGACGGTTTCACAGAACGGATGGGAAGGTCACTCGTATACTTGGAGATCAGATTGGCAATCTTCTCGGTCCGAGAAATCCTGGTAGTCGTAGCCGCCTCCCCTGCAAGACCTCTCATCATCATCCCAGCAAGTCTGTCGACGGTCGAATGGGCGTAGATGTTCTGTAGGTTGATGAAATCGATATTAAGTCGGGATTATCAGCACGAACAGCAGTCTTCAATAATTTGCTCAGTTGGATCGTGCGTAGTGAATCCATTCCGATGCTGTATAGATCATCGCCATTACCGAGGTTTGACTCGCCAGAGAGGAGTGATATCACCTTGTGCAAATATTCTTTCATGCTTTCGAGATCCACAGGTGAAGGTAACTGCATCTCTAGCTGGTCATCTTGGGCGGCATAAAGATCGTCCGCTTCCTGTGAATAGTTCTTGTTCATAGCATGTCTTTGGGTTGTGCCCTTCGAGGTCAACTTGAAAGGCTTTTCTGGCGAAGAGAGTCGAATCATGTTCTTCATGACTCGGCCATAGTTGGGGACCATTTCATTGGCTTTTTCCACCTGTGGCCAAATTGACTCGATGAAAAGCTTCTCTTCGTCTACCAGCTTAGCTCCTTGTGTCGGTTCGACCAACAAAGCGGACTGGAATCTTCCCTGGCCAATCAGCAGTGCGCGATGAACAGATGGATGATCCTCGACCATCTTTTCCAAAGTGACAGGGTTCAATTTCTCTCCATTGCTGAGCACGATCACATCATCCAGACGACCGTGGTACTTCCATAGTAGATCATTAGATGCATGTTTCACAAAAAATCCTTGGATCTATACTCCGTCAAAGTGGGGAATGTGTGAAAGACACCGTGCATGAGGCGAGAGTGTTGAGTACGAGGGATAAAAAGTTCATACGAGTCATCACCGATAGGCTGCATATCAATGTTATATGCCGGATTCCATTCAAAATATCCCCAGTTACCTTCACCTTGAGGAACAAAGGAGTTTATAATGCCCATTTCGCTGGATCCAATTACCGTTCTCAACTCAGTATATTGACTCAGCTTTTTGCCGATTTCCGGTGCCAGAGGGGCGCCTCCGAAGCAGATAAAGTCAAGAGTACGGATGCATTCGAGCGCTTCCTCTGATTGACCCCCTTCTCTAGGATAGAAGGGGGCAGGATAGTTGCAGTAGGCTTTGCCTCTCGCAATATAGCGACAAGCAAGTCCACCGACAATGGCTTGTCTGGACTACACACGAATGGAACATTATGGAAGATAGACTCGAAAAACGATAACTATATCTCCATAAGGCGGAAATATGGCGTGCTCGAGAGTACCAAATGGTCTGGACCTAGGTGGTTGAAGAAGGATGGCTGTCGATCGTCAGGGCGGGGGATGTGTGGCGCGTTGCTCCAAGCACCGAGGAAGCCATGGGTAAGGGGCACAGGTTTTGGCATTCCTAAAGACAGGATTTGAGTGGTTAAACAGAAGTAAAAGAAAGACATAGCGGTTGGTTCATACCGGTGGTCCCAGAGCTGTGGATCATAAAGGCGTTTTCATCTTCAATTTCCCCATAGCTCTTTTCAAAGAGGTAGTGATCTAGTCCACGGACATCATCAAGGATTTCGATAACACTGGGCACCTCTACAGTGTTGAGGGCCATGCATTCCTTGAGTTCCAAAATTCTGTGAAGCTTCTCATGACTGAACAGCAACTTGGAGGATTCTGTCGCGTGAAGTACATGAGCCTAGGCTTCATTCGACAGTCGAGTGGATGGGAAGAAGATCTATATTTTGTTGGTCAGTTTCTTCGCGATATACATGGACAAGAAAGCGGGGCCACTTACCGTATAGCCCAATTTGTGCGACGCGAGCATAAACAGAATATATCGAGCATCATTGTTCCCCATATACGCAATGGTTTCTCTCTTCTTTGGTCTTCCAATCTGCTTTTCAATCCACCATGATGTGGCATTCACTGCTCGTGATAATTCAAGGAAGCTGATCTCTCGGAAACCATCTTCGATTCGGTTGCTTTTGGGAATCAAGCCGAATCTGCGTCCTGGGTCGGATTTCGCAAGAAAGTCTACTTCAGCTGCGAGAAGCTTGTTTGACGGCTTGAAAGTAGCCTGACTGACGCCCACCATGGTTATTTTGGGGCGGACAAAAGATATCGTGATTCCAGCGACAAAACGATCTCGGGGGATAAATAGGCAGTTGAGGATGTAGAACTAGATCCATATGGATGTTGATTTTTCCTATATATTTCTAAGAGGCTTTTTTCATAAACCTGTACCTCTACTTTCATAGATACTTCCGATAGATATACAATTCTTACTTAGTACATCCGGCAGATATACTTGGTGCACAAAGTATGTACAAAGTACACAATTATCACGTAATGTGTCCTTGAGGGGTGCGGATCAATGCCACGCATGGCTTATTTAAGACAGTGGGGGCATTTGAAACACAATGACCAAGCTTTCTTGATATGAGCGGCACAAGGAAGCCACCGTGAATCTCAAAGTTATCCTCCGTATCACCTGATGGTCGGCTAATCTGCATTCGTTGATTGGTTAGTGTGCCTTTATCATAGTCTCGCATCGGCATTTTAGCAAGCTAAGGACTATCCCTAGCTTAGCACTCCGGATCCGATGCCGGCCCAATGAATAATGATAAGTTATGAGCATGCATGAAGCATATATAGAGGCTGTTAGTTGCAAATCATGATGGTCCTGAATGCCGCGTTTCCCGATGGTGAATCTGCGCGTTATTGAAGGTATATGAGGAAAAATCCTTGCATCAGGTAGAAATTGTGCCAATATACTCATTCAGGAACATTGTGATGTTCTATTTCCTTCTCAAAATATTGCCATCTCCTCAGCTATATCCTATATCTCATAAGATGACTACCTCTCATGATTTCTACCAAGGCGGTCTCAGACCGTGATAAGATTGACGTGTCAAAAATTGGCAGGGGAAGGTTTCCAGGCATCTCTACCTCCAACCTAAAACATGCCTATCGATCATCCCTTTAAACAAGCATAAGATTCGGACAAATTTATGCAGAGGTTATTGCGTGCACAGTAGCTACAAAATAGAGGAATGGCAGGACGCTGATGGACGATTGATCTCAAGGCTCTGAGACGCGAACTTGGGAGATAATGCGCATGCCAAAGTTCGCGGGACAATGTTTACTAATTCCCTTAAATGTTATATGTAGTTTACTAGTATAGACGGAGGATATCAGACTTAAGGTTTATTCGCCGGGAACGGATCGCTCCCTTGTGGGTTAAAAGCGGCAGCGGCTGACCACCTAAGCGGAAGGGGATAGCCAACTATTCCGTACAAAATCCACATAATAGACGATGTATTCTATAGAGCATCACCTTTTTAATCAACAAGTGCTAGTTAGTACAGAGAATAGGCCAATTGGAGTAGAATTCCTCCATATTGTGTCACCCCAGGGCTTGTGTGCAGAATATATTTTACATATATTTTTACCGGAGGACGCGAACGGTCCCCACATCCATGGATCCTCCAATCTGACAGCGCGGGAAAGGAGTTGGGGAGAGTATATAGGAATACTTTCCCCGTATTTTCTTTTTCTTTTTCTCCTTCTTTTCCTTTAACATTTCCTTTTTTTCTCTGGCTTGGTCTCATGATCTCCCACCGTCCACCCAATGCAGTGTTGAGTTATCCAGTACTTGTACAGCTCATGCAGCAAGTAGACCGCAAATCAGCCCAAACTCAATTCACCACTTGCCTTGGAGAAACGACGATTCTACCTATAGAAGAGGAATCACACACACACGAATAGATCCAGTTACATATATTCAAAATCAGAATCCGAAGTTCGCAAATGAAAGCATAGGCGCGCGGACCTTCCCGGATAACCTTGGAAGACGAGGGGTAGGTTAAATTTGTGAACGTAATGATATTCGGACGAGAGTGCGCCACAGTAAAAGATCTACTGGTCATGCTGCCTACTAAATCAGTAGGAAGCCCCACAGGCAGAGCTACAGCTACTCGGGCGATAAGCTGTGCCTGGCGGGTTACCGCGTTGAACCCCGGGATTACCCCACAGGGTAAGCCGAAACGCCCGGTTTCATCGTTCCAGAATTCAGATGGAGCATTCGGAGGCAAATTGTTCATGTGAGCTGCGAAAAAAAGAGGGTCCGGTAAATTAAAAAGCAAGAACTCAATCGTATAAAGAGGGACAGATTCGCTTTGGCTCAAGGAGCTTTTCGTTGTTTTTCTTCCTTGTTGCATACATTTCCCCCGATCTATACTTCGAAACTATACTAGAAGCTCTCCCCGCGTTTCTGTACGTTCCACCCAACCCTACACACCAAAGCTTGGGAATATCCTCGTTCTCGTTCGATCGCTCTCAAGCTACACAAACGATCGCAGTTTGAAACTTGTTGCTGGGACATGAGCTAACAATGAGCAACAGCCCTCTGCGCTCACCCCCACTTTTTCCCCGCCTCCGAGTCGCTCTCTAGAACAACAGGTTTCACAATAAGAACTTGGACCTATAGAAGTCGGTTTGACAACTTGATCCAATTTCGTCCTTGAGCTCGAAAAAAGCTATACATATCTACTATCATTCCAGCGGTCGAGCATCTCTGGTTCCGCAAAAGTTTCCCTGAAAACGTTCATTCATCAATATGCAAAGTATGTTCTTTACTTTTTCCAAAGCTCCACTGTGACGTTGAGGACTGCCCCCCCACCTCCATTTCCAACTCCAAGCGGTCTAGCAATGTCCACTCACAGTCGTCACAGCCAAGCACTTCTTTTCCGATCCGACCCATTTGGTCTTGACCGCGTTGAACTCCATCACCGTCACCAACCCATCCCTTGCATTGGACATCGAGAATAAGATCGTTTTCCGCCGCCCAGATGCACCTCGCAAGCCTAAGAAAGTGTCCATCGTGACTGGTGGTGGATCCGGCCATGAACCCGCATTTGCGGGCTTCGTTGGCCACGGTCTCTGTGACGCTGCCGTGGCCGGCACGGTCTTTGCTTCGCCTTCTGCGGAGCAGATCCGTAGGGCCGCCATGGATCGAGTCCCTACCGACTGTGGTGTTCTGATTATCCCAAACAATTACACTGGTGATGTGCTTAACTTTGGTATGGCGACGGAGAAGTCCCGTGCTGCGGGTATTCGCACCGAGTTCTTTGCTATGGCCGATGATGTCGGTGTTGGCCGGAAGAAGAGTGGTAAGGTCGGTCGCCGTGGTATTGGTGGTGCGGCATTGATCTTGAAGCTGGTTGGCGCTCTAGCAGAAGCTGGGTGAGTTCATCTCTGGCACTATATTTAATTGTGCTCTCTGACATTTTTCCCCCTCAGTGGTTCCCTCGATGAGGTTTACGGTCTCGCTCAACACGTTAACAACAACTTGGTTTCCATTGGTACTTCTTTAGAGCATGTTCACATTCCTGGCCGTCGAGTTCCTGAGGGCCTGGACACTATTGCACCTGGTGACGCTGAGGTCGGTATGGGTATTCACAATGAGCCTGGATCCCATCGCGCCAAAAACAACTTGGTCGAACTGGTCACTACTATGTTGCGCTCGCTGCTTGATCCCAATGATGCTGACCGTGCCTACGTCACTTACACCCCCAAGGATCAGTTTGTTCTTTTGATCAACAACCTGGGTGGTGTGAGCCCCATTGAATTGGCTGGTATCACTGATGAGGTTCATCGCCAGCTGAACAAAGGATATAACGTGAACCCAGTCCGTGTGATCCAAGGCACATTCCTTAGTAGTTTGGACGGATTGGGTTTCAGCATCTCGCTCTTGAAACTGGCTGATACTGGCCTTGGAGCTGGCAAGTCTCTCCTTGAGCTGCTCGACGCCCCTGCAGAGGCCGTTGGCTGGGCTGCCCCAATCTCTCGCGCAACTTGGGAAAACCGTATCGACACCCCGGTGCAGCTCAAGAACTCTAACCTGGCCGAGGAGAACCCAAGCAACCTGAAGCGTAAGCTCTACCCTGCAATGTCCCTATACAAACCCAGGGTTTTGATATACTAACAAGCATCTAGTCGACCCTGCGGTCGTAAAGAAGGTCCTTGGCGCCGGTCTTAAGCGCGTCATCGCCGCCGAGCCCGAAGTAACTAACTACGACACAATCGTCGGCGACGGCGACTGCGGTGTCGGCCTCCAGCGTGGCGCCGAAGCCATCCAAGAACTCCTCGCCAGCTCACCCGGAATCGGCGACGACATCGTCAACACAGTCAACCGTATTGTGACAGTCGTCGAGAACGTCATGGACGGTACCTCAGGTGCCATCTACGCGATCTTCCTGAACGCTCTAGCCCACGGTCTCCGAGACCAAGACAAGGGCACCACATTGCAGGCAAACACCGAAGTGTGGGCGAAGGCCCTCAAGCACTCCGTCACCGCATTGGGTCGCTACACTCCTGCTAAGCCTGGTGACCGTACCCTTATGGACGCGCTTGTGCCGTTCTGCGATACCCTATATGAGAAACACGATGTCAATGCTGCCTGTGCGGCTGCTCAGGCGGGTACGGAGTCTACGAAGAGTATGAAGGCCAGTCTTGGTCGGTCTGTTTATGTTGGTGGTGAGTCGGAGTGGATTGGCAAGGTGCCTGACCCTGGTGCTTTTGGTCTCAGTGAGTTCCTAGCTGGAATTGCCGAGGCGGTTTAAGCAAAGGTGGGGTGCTTCTTGCTTGTTCCTATCTTCCGTATAAATAGCGTGATACCAGACCTGGAACAGTCTATGGGTCTTCAGTGGTCTGTTTAATGTAATTCATGATGATGACCAAATTTCTGAATTTTGATATTTGAATTTACTGCCTAGATGTAGAAAATAATCCATTTGAACGCGAGTGTTGTAATTGACACTGGCCTCCAATATTTCGATTGTATCGACATGTTCCAATTCTGAGTCTTCTTACCGCAGTTTTTACCCCGCTAGGCGCCTGCGTCGATTAGACTTTTGAGTGTATGCAAGCAAATCTCCTTTGTTACACATTGAAAGTGCGGTGTATGGAGGTGCATAGATCTGAGCATCTTAGTCACTTCCAAGGTTCGGTTTGATCTTGATCTTTCGGTCTAATTGAGTTAAGCCCCATGGCTCTGCCCAGTATGCGGTATTCTCTGATAGCAGACTTTGTATAGCAGAATACTCTTGCACCCTTGCGTTCCTGTTGTTTATATACCTCATTGAACGTCCTGGAGTGGATAATTTCTTCGGGTTTTTAGTAGGGCTGTGTAAAGAGTGTGAAAGATGACTACAACCAACGATCCCAAAGCTGGGTCAGATTCAAAGAAATAAATGCATTGCGAACATATCTCAGCTCTAAGGAACTACGCCGCCCGACGCTTCCCTCAAAGTGGACACAAATCCCATCAACAGAACGCCAGCAAGGATTTTTTTTTTTTGTAGGCCGAAATTCACCGTTGCATGCGAATGTTACCTCACAGGCAAGGTCAAATAGTCCCAGGTCTAACCTGATGGTGTGACCAGAAGCAAGGGACAGGAGATATGTAGAATGGGTGAGGTAAGCAGGAAAAAAGGGTATCGATATCGATTACATGAGAAACCGTAAATCGCAGGATTGATCTGCGGCGCAAGCGGAGAGCAAACCGTCCCGCATATTTAGGATTCCGAGATATCAGGGTAGATCGGATGCAGGGTGATGAACCACCCTGGGCGGGATGGAGATGCGCAAGATAGGTTTGAGGTGATAAGCGCTCAGCTGAGCAGAACGAGGATGACAGAGTCACCACGGAGGAACCTAATAGAGCCGATTATTAGAAGACCACACGGAAAGAAAAGATGAGTTTAAAGGGCGCGGTGTCTCCACCAGGTCCAGGTCCAACCACACGTACATCTTGCTGATGAAGCGATCCTTGTTCACGCCCTTGCCCTTGCTACCCTTGGGTTTCTCGGTCCACATCTCCTTCACGTTCTCCAGAACCATGTTGCAGTGTCGGTCAAAGGCCTTGACACGGGCCAGCAACTTGCGGTTGTTGCGGCAAGAGATCAGGACCTGGGTGTGCGTGCGGGTGGCGGTCTGCAGTAGGGACAGTGGACCGGCGGTGAGCTCGTGCTCCTCAACAAGAGCGACCTCATATTCCCTGTTTGGTTGCGATGCAAGATTAGCCTTTCAAGTTCATGTATGTCTTTAGATTGCGCATGTATCGGAATGTGACTAGGAAAGAATCGCAAAGCCCCGCATTGTGATATTTTTGCAGCAATTAGGCAGCAGCTGGCAGTTGAGGGGAAAGGAAACGACAATCATCGGTGAAGCTGGGGACATTCGAGGGATGGTGTTGGGAGAGAACATACGTGAGCTCGCTCTTAGGCTTGTTGAGCAAATCCCTGTGGGAGAATTGGGTCAGCTGGGTTGCATGAGAGTCAAAAGTTCATCCACATATAACATACTGGATCTTTGGGTCGGGGGCTGTCGACATGGTGTGTAAAGTATGGGTTATAGATGGCCGAGAAGAGTCTCTCGCGCATTCGTTAGGATACTGGAAGACGAGCAAGTTCAATGGTCACGTGATATACAGCTGGCCCTAGAATTAGTAGTGGCTTAACCAGCCTCCCTACTCTACGTCAGGGAGTCAAACATTCTCTCCAATTTTGACATTGTCAGTATCTAATGCGGGAATTCTTGGAATTTTCAACTGTAGACTCTGCAAAAGCCTTTCACTGGCTTTTAGGCAGGTGCCTATTCCTTTTTATCGTAAATTCACTTTCATGAGTATGGGTAGGTGCTACGTCATTTGTAGTATACACCGCCCGGCTGGCGCAATTGGCTAGCGCGTACGGCTTTTAACCGTAAGGTTGCCAGTTCGATCCTGGCGTCGGGCGTTTTTTGCCGATTTCCTTTTTCTTAGTCAGGCACCAAGGCACGCGTTCTGACCGCGGCTTGCTCGCGATTGGCTGCGTCACGTCGCGTACACGCTTGTTTAGAGATCAGCGGATAGCTTCAACCCGCGATGCAAGGTCTTCCCTTTAAACCCTCCAACCCCCTCACCGTCTGCAGGTGTAACTGGATTTTTTTCCTTTTCCTTTTTAATCTTCAATCCTTCTCTTCCCTATTTCCATAAATAGGCTTTCTCATTCGATTGAACCAAGGCTTCCTACTCCCCTTCCAAGGATCGACCCGATCAACATTCCATTCCTGCAGGCTCTGCTGCACAAACTGCATGTGCTATCCATTCTCCCGGTCGACCAGATACTTGATCGATATGCTTGGCCGATAGATCGGCTGGCTACCCTCCTACCTGCACTTATCCCGGTGCTACATCGCACTGTGGAGCAATAAAAAGTCGAATTGAATATTTGCCCTGCCAACAACCTCGATCCCCACCTCCCCTGCCTACCGATATCCTGCCTTTTCTTCTTACAACCATCCCCGCTTCCCCTCTGTGTACTTCGTCTCCTTCTCGATTCCTTCCAATTACTCTCTTCGCATTGACCCGGAAATTGTGTATGGAGACAAATCGGATTGTATGAGATGGACTCTCAGGACGGCATTACCGTCCGCCCTATGAGGCGTATGAATTCTACTCAGACAACCAGATGACGCCCATAGCTAAAATTTTCGTTAACAGTTAAGGTCTTGTATACCTTTGATAACGAGAACAAAACCAACTGTCTTGCTCGCTGGCCTCATGTGCTGGAAATTCAAACGGCTTATCTGGATGAGGAAACTCCAGTCGGGGTCATTGAGCTGAAGACATGCATTCAAGCAATTGTTTCAGCCAGGTTCGACTCCCTTTTTCAAGTTCATGGTCATTGGTATGCTGACTTGTTTGAAGCCCTGAATTGGTAGCACAACTAGGAAAGGACTATACAGTGTACGCTTACGATTACTCGGAATACGAAACCCCCCTCGTCGGTCAAGGAATGCTTTCATGGGTCCTGGCTTCATCTTCACCGACGCCGGAGGCGCCCGCTCACCAGTCTAAAACCATGGTCACGGGTAAGGTGAGCAAAACCCCTCTGGGTCTATTTTCCAAGGGCGCCGGCGCTCAGGAGACCCTGGAGGTCAAACTTCGATTGGTTCCCGTTCCGACCGTCATGCAAAGCCAATATCTCGACAGCATGCAGAAATACCGAGAACTCAGCCATGTGATCCCTCATGACTTCGACGCGCAATCTTGGACGAATTTCATGCGTCAGAATCCCTCGCTAATGGAGGCCGCTCGAAGCCAGTCACAGGACCGGGCGAGCGCTGGGTCCCCTATGGGTGGATCGGGCATTGGACGGTTCCATCAGATTCTCAGCGAAGGCGCCACTCCTCGTGAGTTTTCAGGCTATGAACGAAATGAGTCAGTGCGTTCAGCTTCGCCCACGCACTCTTATGGTGTTCCTAGCAGAGTATCAACACCTGGAGGAATTCGCTCAGTAATCCAGCAACCCCAACCCCAATCAAGGCAACCTTTCAACCAAAGCAGCGACATGATCAGACCATCTTCAAGTGCTTCTATGCGCGACAGTGACTTCCAGGTACCGCAGTCTCACTCTAGGAGAGATTCTATCCAATCCGGCTATGCCAGTGGAGGCGAGGATATGGATCCCCAACCACGGAAGAGGGCCAAGCTGTATCAGGCAGGCTGGCCAGGAAAGTCTGATATGAACATCGAAAGACAACCCAGCTCACTACGGGTCGCCGCCAGTACGGCGGCCTCCGTTCGGATCCACCGTCCAACTCCCGTCAATCCTTCAATTGCGGCTGAACAGTCCCTGGTCGAGCCCGTTCGCCCGCCAACCCCAATTATGCGTCCTGGGGAAGGTACCCGCCGCCTTCGGCCTGCGTCAAGCATGCTGCGGGAGTCATCTGTTATCAGCTCGTACGGATCGCCATACATGAATAGCGACGACATCGGCACAGATTTCACAGGTCATTCTCCTGAGGATTCCCGTTACCAAGGATTGTTCGAGCCTCCATTCACCATGCCTTCCTCGCCTCCTGTCATGGATTCACGGTTTCCATCCAAATCCAGCCCTGTGCTGCCTCCCCTTACATTGGATACCGACTCCGGCTTCATGAGCGGTGGTCTGGATGATATGATGGATGATGAAGCGGCTACTCCCGCAGAGTGTGCCCAAAGGGCTGAATCACACGGCCTCGCTGAAAGAGATCACTCTCATTCCGTTCGCTCTACAGTGCAGGCAACCTCCCCGGCCAGTGCCACTGGCACGATAGCTGACCAACCTAATAACTCCATGATTATCAGCGATGCTCCCGTCCAGCAACCTACGAAGCCCCAGCAACAGCGTCGCCCAGTCTCGGCAGCTGGGTCTAGACCTAGCTCACGGAACAGCGTGCGCCTGGCGCCCAAACCGCTAGCACCCGCACCTATTGCCCCTCAGGGTGAATTCGCTCAGAACAGGAGCACCGTTCCTGCCAGCGATCCTGTCGCGCCTAGCCACCCTCCCCTTCAGTACTCCCATACCTGGGCGGGGCCAATGAGCGATTTCAGTATTGCTGACAGCTCAAACTCAGTACCGCCACGAAAACCCGAATCCAAGCCTCGGAGCGCTAAGAAGAGGGTGAAACAAATTCAACAGCGCTTGGATGATGCCATCAAAAGCGGACAGGTTCCTCCCTTCTGTGCGAATTGCGGCTGCATTGAAACTCCTACCTGGCGTCGGGCGTGGTCGAAAGAGGTCGTGGGCAGAGAGGACATCGCCAAAGAAATGATGCAAGACAGCAATACCTTGTTCTACGAGTCTCTGGAACGTGACGCCCAAGATGCAATTTCCAAGTTCAAGATTTATAAAAAGACTCTCCATAGCTGGGACAAGGAATGGACTCAAGTTTTGCTTTGCAACCCTTGCGGTCTGTGGCTGCACAAGTTCAAGACCATGCGTCCCGAGAACAAGTGGAACAAGCCCGGTGCAGATGGTACTGAGAAACGGAAGAAGCGTCCCGTGAGAAACCGCAGAACTGGTGGCCCACTGTCGCTTCCTTCAACCAGGACTCGCAGCATGGCTGCATCAAGCGTGACTGCAGCTTCCTCTCCAGCCCCCACCGAAGCCTCCTCCGTGCAGCCCGAAGATGGTGCTACTCCTCTTGTGGACAACAATCAAGATCAAGATCCGGACCAGGATGAGGAAGGCGAAAACTACCCCAACAAGCGTCGTCGGGCTAACAGCGCTGAACCTCCACGGTCATCCGAGAGCTCGCACACTCGCTGGGAGCACGACGATGCCGTGGAAGCCCTGCGTCGTGCGATTCAGTCTAGTCCGGCAAGAAATATGGCCGGTCGCAAAGTTCCAAACTCGGATGATTTGACTCTCACCCCCAAGCCCTTGCGCCGGGCGCTGTTTGCCTCTTCTCACAATGACAATGCCTTGAAAGAGCTGGATGATTCTAGGGTGAACACTGGCTCTCCAAGACGCAGTCCGAGGATTGCTTCGCGTGAAGACAAGGCCCCGGAGAAAGAGAACATGGCGCCCACACCTAATGATGACCTTAACGATCTTTTTGAGAGCCCTTCTTTGGACTTTGAATTGCCTATCAGCCCAACTCCGCGTCGGCCCCATGCTCGTTTCAATATCCATGAGCGACGACTTTCGTTGCCTTCCAACTCGCCAACTGCTAACCGGCGCAAGGATGTTGGATCAGTTACCCCTTCAACCCGTCTCACCGCGGAACGCTTGCAACGTATCCAGGAAGGTCAGGATCAAACCCGCACAACACCTCGCCAGAATCGAACCCCTAGTAAGCAAGACATGCCTTCCTTGTTGGATCCTGCGGCATTCGAGTCTTTTGACGGCATGATTCTCGACATCTTTGACAATGCTCCTGGCCAGTCTGACTTCTTTGAGCTCGGGGGCTCAAAGGCCGACAACCAGAACTGGGCTGAGTGGCTTCCCACGGACTATGTCTCTCCCACCGGATCGGACAATGCCGAAGCTTCTGAAGACTTCATCAACGCCATTCTTTCCAATCCCACGGCCCTCAAAGAAAACATCCACAACTCACAATTCAATCCTTTCGCTTTCACCGATACCCAAGTCCCTGACTCGGGTTTCTTCAGCTCAGATGCTCTACACGCTGACTCCATGGGTATGCCCAAGCCTCAGCATGCCAACGAGCAGCTAAATGGTCAACAGGCAATGTCTCCCACTGCGTGAGCAATCGTTGGCTTCCATTTAGATCCCGCCTATGTCATGTTTGTTTTATGTCTTATGTTTTTTAGCGACGGCGTTTGGCTGGTAGGCGATGTCTTTGCTTATTGTTACACATCGGCCTTTTTTTATTATTTGCAGGCGGTTCTATGCTTTTGTTGAGTGTACGCTCGATTTTCCATTATTCTGAATTATGACCAGAAAAACCCACAATCGGGTCTTCACTATGTATCGCTGACGCCTTGTCTCGGCTGATGATTGCTACCGGAATGCCTAGCTGCCCGGAATACATGAAAACAAAATCAAACTCAAGTTCAAAACACATTTTGCATTCCCCTGTAGTCAACAAAGTAAAAGTCCGTTGGTCAAGACTTTCAGAGCCGCACGTTACTGTCAAGTGGTCATCTACTAAACATCCTTTCATTCTAGTATGTCCCCCGGTGCCTATCGTAATTACAGTCTGCGGTGTTGGATGGAGTGTTCTTATCTAGCCAGGGAAGAATCTTGAACGTCAGACAGACAAATAATATACCAGACTTTTATTTTAACAGGATGAGACATACTACTACACTTGTAATAACTCGATGATGGCTTATCAATGTCCACAGTTGACTAAGTGGGGATGTACGTTGGTTAATAAGATCCCATGATGAGGCCCATCGCTGATGTTTGGAGAAGTAGCTCAAAGCCATAATTATGAATGTAAATGATTAGATGATCTCCCATTCGATTTTCAGCACTTCTTGTCTTTTAAAAAGTGCGAATTTTATTTGGATTATGTATTCACATTATTATGCCATTACTTGGAAGGGAAGCAACATCTGCCATGGCAAAAACCTTGGAATTTGATCATAACATCGTATAATATGCAAAATCGGAGCTAGGCCACCAGACCGAGGATACAACATGGTCAAAAAACAACATAGTGCATCATACTTGCTACCCAACGCAAGGAAACAATTATTCACCAGCTCTAAACCATGCTTTTATCCTTCCCCGGATGCCGTAATGAACTTTCAGTAACCCTCAGATCCTTTATTCAGTACTGTAGAAGAGAGTCTTGAAGCGGTGTGTGGCGTCGACAACGTGCTCGTAGATCTTGTAGTCTAATAAAGGCAATCCAGCCAGTTAGCACATGGCTTATCTTATTCAGTTCAAGACAAGACTCACCACAGTCCGCCGGGTTACCCCAGTCCGTTGTCTCGAGAACTCGGAGTCCAATCTAAAGAAACAAGCCATTAGTAATCCATTCCTTCAATGCTACTGCGTATTTCTATGCAAGCTCAAACGGAACAGAAGAGGCCCCAAAAAATACTTGAACTCAATGAACTTACCCCACCATCAACATCAGTCACTTTCCCTACAACCTCGATGAGTTTCCCCATCTGTAGGTTCTCATCCGGAGTTAAAATGAGGGTCACATCTCCATGGGTGCCACAGGTGATTTTCGCTTGTTCGCCGTTGAGCGCGCTCACGGTGCCCAGAATGGAGACGGTATGTATAGTGCCCGCGGCGGCGTTGTTGGGGTGGAAGTTGGAGAGGTGCTGCGGTAGGACGCGGGGCGTTTGAAGAGACATTTTGGATTGGTGAGTCTGGTGAGGGTTGTTTTGGGGGTCGGATGAAGGGAGAAGGCGTTGTGAGAGTGCTATGGTGGAATTGAGCAGATCAGACGCGTTGATAGGACGCGTGGGCACGTGATGGTGGGCTTTCCAAAATCAATGTAGATCGAGATTATCAAGTGCCTTCACATGGCTGTGTATCGCGATTAAAAAACTGGATCTGATTGAAACCAACTGGAATCCCGTATATACCATAAAATACATAATATCTACAGGGGTTCGAGGTACAGTGCTTGTGAATGGTCTCTTTTCCATATCCTCACGTGACCATTATCAATTTCAATCGGAGCGGGAGCTCATGTTCTGCGACGTCAGACCTTCACAACTTGCGCCGTGATCCCCAATGGGCCCTCAAATCTCCAACGCGGTTTAAGGCACTACATGCGATAACAAATCGTATTCCGCTCATCTCCTACGGACCCTGATTACTCCATCACCTCGAAACCATGCCTCCGCCCCTACCATCTTCCCACCGCGGGATGACCGCAAACCCGCTTAAACCTGTAGGCCGTTATCGACCTGGCAAACCAGTCGCGGAAGAGCACTCATCATCAGAAGAAGAGGAGGAAGACGAAGATACTGAGGCGCAGAGAGAACAAGAACGAAAAGAGGCCGAACGCAGGAGACAACAAGCTCCAAAAGCAAGCTCTTTCCCTTCTGCGGCCGCCCGCAAAGCTGTTCAGGAAGAGCAGGATGATGATGAGGAAGGGTTTGAGACTGATGAGGAGGATGAAAATGAGGCGGAGCCAGCATCAGCACCCAAGGCTGCGCCACAAGCTCAAGTTTCTTCGGCACAAGCCGTAGCGTCAAAACCGACACCGGCAGCTGCCCCAGAAGAAAGCGAAAGCGAAGAGGAAGAAAGCTCAGAAGAAGAAGAAAGTAGTTCGGAGGATGAAGCGCCCCGGCGCATGTTGATACGGCCTACATTTATCAAAAAGGACAAAAGAGGACAAGGCGCAGACCAAGCACAAGCTGCAGCCAGTGCAGCAAACACCGAAGCCGAAGCCGAAGCACGCCGCCAAGCCCAACGACAAGAGAAAGCAGACCAGCTAGTACGGGATCAACTCGAAAAAGACGCAATCGCACGCTCAACAGCAAACCGGGCTTGGGACGACGACGAGCTAGAAGTCGACGACGAAGAAGCCATCGATGACAAGGATGGTGTAGACCCAGACGCAGAATATGCCGCATGGAAACTCCGAGAATTGAAGCGAGTAAAGCGCGAGCGCGAAGCCATCGAGGAAGCCGAGAAAGAGCGCGAGGAGATCGAGCGCCGACGCAATCTTACACAAGAAGAGCGTGATCGCGAGGACGCCGAATTCATTGCACAACAAAAGGAAGACCGCGAAGCCACCCGCGGTCAAACAGGCTTCATGCAACGCTACTTCCACAAGGGAGCGTTCTTCCGCGATGACCTGGAGAAAGAGGGACTGGATCAACGCAATGTCATGGGCCGACGGTTCGTGGATGATGTTGCGCGTGAGACGCTGCCCGAGTACATGCAAGTGCGTGATATGACCAAGCTGGGCAAGAAGGGGCGTACTCGTTACCGCGACCTCAAGTCCGAGGATACAGGCCGATTTGGTGGAGGGTATCAGAATCGTCGGAACGATAATGGTCCGCCCATTGGCATTACAGATGAGCGCTTTATGCCTGACCGGGGGGATGATCGGGGTCAGGGACCGACTGGGCCCACGGGTGCCAATGCTAGTTTTGTTCGACCGAGGCGGAGGTCAAGATCCCGCTCTCCACGGCGGGACAGACGGGATAATCGAAGTCGTTCGCCAGAGCGACGGAAACGCAGCCCGTCCCCGTATGAAGATCGGGATAAGCGTCGGCGAGTCGATAGTTCATGATGAATACCATATCTACTACGTGAACCTGGCGTTGGAAGGATTCTTTAGCCAAAAGCTTTGCATTGCTATTCTTGTCATATACCGGTATATACATGCATTTGAGCAAATGATACACCCCTCTACATCTCGAAGTGTTAGCCTCAAGCGTTATATCCAGGCGAGGGAATCCAATTATCCACATATCTAGCATTCCTGTTTCCAAGTTTTCTATCAACCACCCTCAGCATATTGGCAAACTTGTAAATCTCTAAAAAGGCAAAGGGCACCCAATACAGATGTTGTTTGAATCATTCTCATCGAATTGGAATCCTCCGCTAGAGAGAATAGAATTGGCTCTATAGTCCATATCACCCAACAACTCTGCAAAAAGAAGAATTTATTTGATCCCTGCCCTTTCCAAAACCTTCTCACGCTCCATAACACTATCCCCAAACCGCACAAGGAAAACCGTCCGGGAAGGCCACATCTCCGTCGGCTGATTATGCGTCGAAACTTTAGCCTCAAACCCACACCCATCACAGACACCCTCAATAATTCCCGCCACGAAGGCCGCACAATTAAGCATACTCATTTCCCGCGGTACGCTGATATACGTATTGACCAGCGGATCATTGTCGGTGATCATGTATTCGTTTGGCGTATCCGGGGAAACGGAGTGCTCGAGGGCATCTGCTGAGCGCTGGAATAGGAGGCGCCAGAGGGGGCCGTGGATGAGGTGGAGGAGAGCTAGGATTCGGAGGGGTCTGTTTGGTGGTGACGAGGATGTTGAGGAGCTTGAGAGGGCTGAGGATGAGGTTGAGGTGGCTCTGTAGAAGAGGAGGTCGAGGAGGCGGAGGCCTAGGGGGTATCCTTGTTCGTTTAATCTTGGACTACGTTAGCAGATGCTCGGAAGTTTATTTTCAAAGCCAGATTGATGGATCTGCAATGGACAGGTAGGAGTAGGTAGGGGACTCACCGTTTCTCTAAATCTTGTATACCCGTTACCCTCCGCTGGGCATATGTGACCATCTCCGCAAATAGATAGGCGAAGCTCGCGCGACTGGACTCCGCATTGCGGCTGCGATTCAAGTGTCGGTCGTAAATTGTTTTACGATTGGAAGGCACACGGAGGCCTTGTGTTGGAGCTGGGCTTTGTGGCTGCTGCGGCGCTTGTGTTCGGTCACTGGATGTGGATTGCGGCGTGGCGGCGTTGCTGATGGACAGCATGGCCGAGTGCCTGGGCGCGGCCATGGTGTGTAGATAAGAGACGCCACTGAGTGACGGAGTTGAATTGGTGGATAAACGGTCAAGAATGAGGGTGCTGATCAACTCGGAGGTCGTGTATTCGTGATATGTTGTTGGTGGTTTGAGGGGTCAAGCTAACTTCCGTCTCTGGTTGTCGCGATGTGGATGCGATCTACGGTGGAGCGCATCAGCCGCGGGTGCAACTTGCGTAAGAAATCTTTGTACGGACAGACATCTGAGATCTATATTTACAGATAGTTTACAGTAGAAGAAAAGGTGATTTGTAAAGAAAAGCGAATTTCATTCATGAGTCAAGACAGGATGGCTGTGCTACGAGGTAAGCCGTGCAATAGCTACACGAGCGACTGAAATTTTTTTCAAAATGTTCGAAGCCGTGCTAGACCATCGAGCAACAACCAAAGAGTCAAAGGTCTAGTGAGTTTTATATGAGGGTGACGATCATAGATCAAGTCAAGTTCCTGTTCTGAAACCACTGTTAGCGAGGTTCATTGAAAGGTCATATAGATTCCACACAAAGGAAAATAGCCAATTCAATCAGACATCCAAGGAAGTAATTGCGCACAATGGTCCCGAAATAGGTTCAAATTGGGCCTAGCGTGGAAACTGCGAATGTAGGAACTTTTTCATCATATGAAATGGGCGCGAAGACCCTTGGCTATTCCCAATGGCGATAAATCAAAAAGTCGTGACTTACCAAATTAGTGAAAGCATGAGCAAGAGAAGAGAAGATAAAGAAAGATATAAAAAGGAAAGCCTGCGTGGTGCAGAGTTCGCATTAGAACTTGCAGTTGCAGGTGCAGGAGATGATGGAAGAAGAAAAAAGTTTTGCGGTGGGAAACCGCCTTTTATAGGGCGGAGTCCAGCTGCCCCGGAAACCAACTTCAAGCGAGTATATCCACTTGAGCTCGAAAAAATTTTCAAGACAATGGATCTCGTAAACAATACCACGATTTTAATTGCAGAGATTTTTCAGACTATCAGGCTGTCAGCTACAAGTATTTGCTATCTACAGTCTAGCTATTAGTGATCGCCATTTGATCAAAAGCAAGGAAACTCGGATTCAAATTCGCAAGACATAAGCTCGTTAGTTCACCAGTTACATTTCCATAAAGACCTGGACTTATTTGAAACTCTTCTGTTTCGTACGGGAGTTCCAATTTAGCGTTTTCGAAATGCTGTGGACCCAGTCTTCACCGCGTCGGTCCTGAGGCAAGACATTGGCAAACGGGTATCTCGACGCCGACACGGTAACGTAGTCGCCTGGATGTAATTCAACTCTCTCCCGGCCATCAAAACTGGCCCATGAACTAGTCCGGGCATCGTAGGGAACACCCATACGCAACACAATCGTATCGGGGAGGATGATTGGGCGGAATGAGAGAGTATGGGCGCAAATGGCTGTGACCAAGATCACCGGGTTTTCGGGATGAGAGAGCGATCCTCCAGCAGCGAGGTTGTACGCTGTCGATCCTGTTGGTGTAGCAATGCAGATGCCATCGGCAAGCAGGGTGGTGAAATGCTCGTCGTCGCCAAACAGCTCGATTTGAGACATAGCTGGGGTCGAAGGTTAGCGAAATAATTTCAGATGGTGAAGAAAATTAGCAAGGGACATACTTGGATTGGGTCCACGGTCCAATACAACGTCATTCAGAATCTCATACACTCTATCCGGAGTATGAGTTAATGTATCCTCCCCTTCCTCGCCAATCAACTCCTCCACCAAGTCGCGATTCGTCAATGTACGACTATGCGGATCTTTCAACCGCGCCTTGCTTCTCATGATCGTGCACTCGAATCGCAATCGAAGACTCACAACCACACCATCCCGAAAAGCATTTTCCAATATCTTTTTATGGTCAGCAAAGTCAAAGTTTGTCAAGAAGCCCAATGACCCAAGCGCAAATGACAGAACGGGCGGGACAATACGCTGGAATAGCCAGCTAGTATAAAGAACCGTTCCATCTCCGCCGAGTGTGATCACAAAATCAAATAGGTGAGGCTGTTCCTGCGCAAGCTTAGGATCCCAGAACTTGAGCCGGCCCTTGGCGGACGGTTCATCCTGTAGTAGCTGCAACGTCCCAAAGTCCGGGTGGGTTTCCATCCGGCGCTCCACGTAGACAATGTACGGTGAATCACGGTCCTTGGACAGTAGCCAGCGAGTCACTTTCCTAGTCAAGCTCACTAAAGACTCGTCATGTGTCTTGCTCACGATGAAAACATTTTTCACCGTCAGTTTGAGCTTGATACTTCCCAACTTCTTTGAGAGCTTCCGTACGTTCCATGCCATATCGGACAACTGACGTTTGGTTAGATGTCGGGATTGGATGACTGTAGGCTCAAGCTTCAGAGTTTTGTTATCGCTGTCGACAACAGAGACGACATTATCCTCCCCCAGGACCTTCGCATCGGCGGCAGGTTCATCTTCGGTCAGAGCGTTGATCACGTCTTGCTTATCGGAAATTTTGGGGAAAGGTGCTGCCCATTCACCCGCAATAAGGGAATGCACATAGCAAGCTGTCGTCCTGTCTTGTGGATCATGGTGTTTCATTCGGGGTTTTTCCATGGTCACCAGGGAGGATTTGCGGCGGTGGCTGGAATCGGGGTAGAAGACGACCTGGTCAAAGAATTTAGAAATCTGAATTGACATGATTCATGCTGCTTTGTGCTAGCTCACCTCCAGCTGGTTCTGCGGCTCCGTATCACTGGCCCCTCCGTGGCTCTAAGAAGCATGGATCAGTTCTAATTCCCGGGCCATAACCCCGCCATCCTAGCACGTACCTCGTCCACGGCTGCCGTAGATGCCCCTCGGTCATCGTGGTCCATCGCGCGCAGGTTCTGGACTTTTTTGCTCGTTAATCAGACCAGCATAGTGAATTTGGGACTGGTAGCGATGACCCAGTGTTGGTGAGATGAGAAAACGATGTTGGACTGGGGAAACGCGGGTATGACGTAGGGCCTCTCGTTCCTCGCAAGATCTCCATAGCTTTCCAAGCCTGCTCCAGGTGTGGGGATCCCTGCTTATCTTTGTGCCTGTGTAATTGTAGTAAACCTCGGGAATTGAACCTGCCTTTTTATATATGTGTAGATTCAATATTTCAAATGGTTAATTCCAGCTTCTATCGTGATTTTAAGTCGATTTCGGTACATAACGAAGACTCCCCTGAGGGATGGGGATTCGATTGGAATTGAATTTGTTTGCTATCTCTACATTGCATTTTTCATCTCTCTGAGAGCAGCCATCACATCTACGGGGTCGGTCTTGCCCGTCACTTTCTGGATCTCGGGATCCTAGACAACCAATATGAGCATCTAGCTGTGGGAGTGTAGAAACAAAACTTACATTGACACGCATAAACACGTTGTGGAGCTGCAAATCATCAGTTTTCATTGCAATCACACCGCATTATTGAGTACATACCTTTTCATCCCCAATGGTAAATTTGCCCTGGGTCTGCTCGTTCGCTTCAGCAAAGGCTTGGAGCTTCTTTATGGGCTCAGATTGGGACACCGCAATGCAGAACTTGACATTCGCCTTTGTGTACTCGTGACCGGGCTGATGCCTGTTAGTGAATAATCTCCCAGAGATATCGAGGACTACATACATAAACCTTGGTATCGTCGGGCAAAGCTGCCAACACCTCGTTCAATGCCTTGTTCATCTCCGCGGCGTTTCCTTCAAAGAACCGACCGCATCCTGGCAAGAAGCTTGTTAGAGTTGCCTTTCATGGCACGGGGTTAGTCTTACCGCCAATAAATAAGGTATCACCGGTGAAGACGGCCCGTTGGTCGCCATCTTGCATGTAATAACAGATACTATCTTGGGTGTGGCAAGGGGTGTACAAGGCCTTGACAGAAATGCGCTCTCCAATCTTGAAAACCTCACCATCCGCCGGGGTCGTGGTAACAGACTGGCAATTGGAGCCTCCAATGACTGGGAGCTTGCCAAACTCTCTCAGCTAGATAAAGTTAGTTAAAATCTTGTCAGAACAATGATTGTGATAACATTTACCATCTTATCGTTGCCCCCGGCATGGTCCCAGTGGCTACATAATTAGTATCAACGATGTTCATTTCAGATGGAGTTGCATTGACCACATACTGGTGGGTGTTGACGATAGCAGTCAGGTCAATTTTGCCTGCACTAATTTGGGATTTCAACTCGGGTGCCACCCTAGAACCGAGCAGGTCAGATCAGCATTCGTAAATGCGCATTACATGTTCACAATTGACTGACTCTGGAGGGTTTGCCGGGTCGATGATGACCGACTTCTTGGTTGGCTCATCTGTCACTAGGTAGGCATAGTTATTGCCCTTCCCCGTCCCTGCAAGAGAAAATGTAAGCACCGTGGAAAGATACGCTACTCTTTGATAGCTATTTGGGATCGGTAGAGCTCCACTTACACATAGGAATCGACTGGATATGCATGGTTCGGACTTGTGGAGTGAATGGACGAGGACGAAATGATCGAATTGCTTTTGCAAAACTCATTACCAATGGAATGTCTAGTGCGGGGAGAAGCTATGATATTAGTTGTACAGGCCCGGCGGATTACATATCGAACGTCATGCGGAGAAACTGTTTCTCCGTGGCTTTACTAATGGTACGATGTCTGATTGGTACCTAAAGCTTGCCTGTAGCTTAAACGTTAAAGTGGGACAACACCTTCAATCCTGTGAGAATTGAACGGTTTCTGAGATTTATTGTGTGCTGCCAGCAGCACAGTATGCTACATTAGATAGATCTAGTGAGCCGAAGCAACGCCCAAAGCCCGACTATCCCACTTCTCAACAGGCCCCCATCCATGCGCGAGAAGCTTCTCATCAACACCAGATAACATAGGGCTATTACCATTCTTTAAAGCAGTTTTCTTCACAGAAGAACCCTGAGAGCTTCGCCGAGAGGAAGATTTATTCTTTCGCACACCTTCACGCTCGCGTAACCGATCACTCAACATCTTCGCCCAGTAATTCGGGTTTTCGTCGCATGCACTGAGGATGTAACTGCGAGAGCAGTATAGCTGTTGAGATTCCCAAGAGGACGAGGTCCATATGTGAGTCAACCATAGGAAGTACGCCTCGGCGACCCCGTCCATAGGGGACTCCCTTGTGGCATCGAAAATGAGCTTGTGTACTAGCGCCTCCGACAGGTACATCAAGAAAGAGGGGTGGTGTTCAGTGATCTTTTGCAAGACCGGGTCCCACTTCTCAAAGTGATCATTTATGGACTCCCCGATTCTAATCCATCGGGTCAGTATCAATACTCATAAAAAAGTTTCGCTCGAAAACTTACTTTCGCTCAGAACCAACCAGCAAGAACTCATCCAACAGGATAGTAGGTAGTGATCTCACAGCCTCGATCGAGTTGCCACAAATCGAAACTAGATCCGTCGAAATGGAGATCTCCTGATCTCGCTTCCGTTTCTTCGCCTGCGGCTCCGTTGACCTCGAGCCCGTCGAGAATTCCCGCAAAACGCTAGTAAGGGCAGTCTGAACAGACGCGCTATCGTCATGATCAACATTGGAAACGAAGCCTAGGTCATCAATCTCGGCCCAGTAGTTATCCCAGAGCCACTCGAGAGACCGCTGAGAAGCCTTGCGAAGAACAACCAAGGATGGCGGTTCTCGATGAGTGGCTTCGTGACGTAACTCAACAAAAGAAGCAGGTAAGCCCAGGTCCATGGCGCGCTGGAACATCGTCTTGCGCGGGCCTTGAACCTTTGAGTCGACGAGCCCAGTAACGAACCTAGATGCCCGTTAGCTCGGTTCAAAATCGATGGTAAAAAGCTTTAATGAGAGCAAAACACAAAATATTTTAGACTAGAAATGACAACACGTACCGACAGAATGCAGCAGAGTAAGTGGCTCGAATAGAGAAAATCGAATTGATCTGCGCATCATCGTGGAGAATCGCGTCCGTCAAAAGGGCTGTCGCCTCAACATGATGGGGGACATTGCCACGAAGTTTCCAAGCTTCCACCTATTATTCACAGTCAACTTAGCATCTCTAACGATTTAGATAGCTTATTTCAACATACCACCGCACACGCATGACTGCGCAAGTCTGGACCCTCATATGAGGGCGAAGGATAAAACTCGCTCCGCACCTCCGCCAACTGCGACTTATTCTTCCATGCCGTGAAAATGACTTTAGCCATTTCCAGATGCTTCGGTTATAAGGACTTTTTTTTGTTAGACTCCCGAAATACTTTCAAATAATGAGCTTCGCTATATTGGCATCTTTTCTTTGACAAGATGAAATATTCTCGGGTGATTGTTGATCCATTTGGATAGTTCTGCCGAAGCTTAATTATCCCGACCAATCAGAGACTTGGTTTGTATACGTCACTTTGCTTGAACGATGATTCCATTTCCTTTTTGGTCGATGAATTCTGATGTTATGAAGTGATCATGAAGTTTCATTTGGTTCTAATCCTAGCGCACTAGTGGTGTTCATGATAAGCTAAACTATGCCCGGGGTATCTATTTATGTTGACTCCGGCCATCCTAATAAGCAGTTCCGATATAAACTCCATGCTATGCCGCTGTTGTAACAGAAAATAAAGAATAAAGAAGAAAAAAGAGTGTTGCAGTCAATCAGATCCACCCATATCCGTAGCTCATGCACGATTGGTTCAGGCTAGCGAAGGGTGCTGAAGGCATTGTTTGCTGATCCATGTCGTCGTGATCGAAAAAAAATGACTTGTGAAGGAGGTTCAGTGCTGGTTGAGCGTACTGCCTGGTCTGGGAAACGTTGTGCTGTGGCACTGGTGTCGGTTGTTGTGGCATACTCTGTTGAGGAACAGGCTCCACATCGATCTCGTCGTCATCTTCATCTTTTTCGTCGTCAGATGGCGAGAATGTTTCCTCCAGCTTCAGTCCCTTGCCCAGAATACCCTGCTGTGACTGGCTCATTGAGCCATCCGGTTGACTGTACAGTCCCATTCCAACTAACTCCTCCTCCGGCTTGCCCTGCTTCTTTTCTTGGATTGATGCAGGCGAGTCAAACTGCTGAATGGGGAGGAAGTCCGGAGTCGATGGGCCGCTGAGCTCTCCAGGGGAAGGCACGCTGGCGTAGCTGGGACATGTGGTTTCCGGTGGGGGAATGTTGGCCATGGACAGCATGTCGAGTGACCATCCATCAGAAGTTGTTTGCATGGTAGACATATCGACGGGGTTGGAAACGGTATCCCATGCCATTGACTCGGCCTGCGAGTTGGGCATGGTTTGTTGAAGGGGTATGGCGTCGTTGGTGTCAAGGTAGAAGGGAATGTAACTATCCGGTGAGAGTGTAGCGTCGGCAGACATAGGATATGAAAGCATGCTCTCACTGCCATAAACAGAAAGAGCATTCATGTCAAGAGACTGGTTAGGCATGGTGCTCATGTCGGTATAGCTCTCTTGGGTGTAGTCGGGAAAGTATGTCGAATGGGAAAGGCCTCTGGTCCTGGCTGAAGATGGGTGCCAACTGATTGGGCGAGGGTTCCGAGCGGCAGACGCCAGAAGAGCAGCTTCAAGCGATGATTGGTACTGATTGGGAATTCCCTGCATCCCACTCTGAGCAACCGTAGTCCTTCTCCTAGATGGGCTATTGCCAGCACTCCTCGGCTTCATCACACGAGAGTGTCGGGGCCGAGGGAAAGCACGGGCCCAGTCTTGCATTTGCATGTTGGTGGATGGGCTATAGGCATACTCTGGATTCCATGAAGAGCCAGTCGAAGAGGCTTGTGATTGATAACAGTAATCGGCCATAAAAATGTTGATTAATGGAAATGTGGTGAGAATTTCCCTTTCTTGTGTTCCCTGAACAATACACTGGAAAGTCCCAGGTAGAAGTGACGTAGTTGTATGGAGGGGGAGGGTTGGTCGTTAGGAGAGAAAAAGAAACCGAAGTTCCTAAACAGGAACAACGGCTGTTTTTATGGGTATGGGAGAGTGAAGATCCAGGGAGAGGGCCAGCAAGCGATATTATAAGGGAATCCAGGGAGCCTGGCGATCTACCACCCGCCCCAGGTCCACGATCCCACCACACATGCTTAGGATGACACGACGTTGACACTAACGAAACGAGCCTAGTCCCAGAACCACAGGGCCGCATGGAACGGGTCGAATCCATAATCAGGAATCAGGCGCATACTGTTTCGGCCAAGGGCAGAATATTCCGGAGTACAGGGTGGGGATTGGTGCGTGGAACATTTTGAGGCGAACATGGGGAAGGGAGAGTTTAGTGGTCAAGATCCACTATTGGGACCAAATGGAGACCCTCGGTTTTCGTACAAATTACTGTAAATTATTTTACTTTTTTACAAGCCCCCTAGAGAATCCATACTAGGTACTCGAGGAATGTTGCGATCCGATCTGATCGGCGAATACAACCTCCTTGAAATCTGTCTCCATTGATCAGCCCTGCAATAAGAATGCGAATGCGACATGTTTGGGCCCCCCCATGGACATATTGTCTGTATTGTAGGTAGCGTCACAGACAAAATCAGACCCCGTTACGCAAGGGTTACCAATGTGGTCTTTAAGATCGACTCGCACATCCTTCGTGTTCCTGTAATCGAGGTGGCTTGCCAAGTGGAGTTTTTCCAATCTACTGGGAAAAAATGAACTGATGACTCCGTCATGGTGCTTTGTCACGGAGGCCCTTCCCAAGTTCTAGATCGGGATTTGGCGACATGAGGGGACTCCCTTCTTTGTACCGTGCATACCCGGTGATGTTTCTTTTCTCCGCTGCATGCGCCCTCTTCCGGAGTACATGATGCAGGAGATGCATCTTTGTTGCCACCAAGCGATCGTCTTTTATCCCGATCCCAGAAAATGAACAAGCCACTTTCGGCTCTTCATTGAGCCAATGAGAGGAATCAGCAACTGGAACTATGCTCCGTTGGCTTGCAGGTCATCGCAATATCACCTGAGTTACTAGTAATTTCTATATGGAGCTAAAAGGTGCTACAGAACTGCCAATGTGCATGACCCGGTTGTACGGTGGACCTGTTTCATTGAAAGACCGGTAGCCCGTGTACCGCCACAAGAGTTCGTGTTGAACAATGTTGGACGGGAAGCTCGGCAAGCACAGAACGTGGAGCCTGAAGGTTTCTGCTTCCCTTTTGGGGGATCCATGTTTCCAAAAGAACCATGTCAGGGTACGAGTCAAACGCCCCCAACGTATACAAGGGTTCAAAAGTACCTATCACTTGAAAAGGATTAAACAAGCAAACAAGGATTGAAATGTGACGGGTTCCCTGCACGGCCCCTTTGGACCACCCGACAGAAAAAAACATAGAGGGTCGGAGCCAATTTCCATCAAATTTTCCTGTGGAACTAACGGGATGAGTTCAATAGGTACTAGTATCCGCTGGGCGGATTTGAAGGAAAATTGAGCAAGTGGAAGAGATTTTGGGATTTCATATTAATTAATATGGGGCTAAGACCCATTCTGTGTCACCGATCAGGAAATGGGCGGTAGAGCCACCATTCACAACGTGGCCGGGCGGATCTGATCGTGCTTAGCGCTGAACTGCCAAAGCCGAAGTTCCTTACGACGCCCGGACCTCCGGGAACGGGCTTGACGTTTTTATTTCTTTTTTAACTTTCCTTGCTGTACCCGCTTATGATCGAATCTATTTAATTTAATTTTTTCCTTTTCCTTTGCCTTTGATCCACTCTATCGGTAATGGACCCCCTATCTGATTTGCTTTTGATTTGATGGAATCAAAGCATCAGACTCACAATCTATAAACGAGCTAGGCAATATATATTTCTTTTCTTTCATTTTATCTCCCTAGCAGGTGCTAGCATCTGCACGATGTCATCTGCCGTGGGATACCTCATTGAGCAAGGATTCGAGACCGATGCAAAACACAACCCACTTTGTCCACATCATTACATAGTGATCCAAGGCCGTGTGCCGCTCGGAACGCAGTTGCATGAATCCACTTCATGCACTGCAGGGGCCACTGGTAAGGAAATTCGGAGACAATCATCAATTTCCAGAAGCTCAGGGGACCACTCAGAGAGGCCGATTTTTCTCTGCCCCCTTAGTGGAGTCCCAAACGCTGACACAATCTCATAAATTGCCGATCTCCAGCAGACGTGAACACACCGCAGCGGCAGAACTTTCAATCGCAGATGGATCCTTCACTTACCTAAGAGAGACACTCCTTGGTAATGTATGTCCAACGTAGGCTAGAGTCGTAGTAACACGGAATGTCGCTTCGAATGGTCATTTCGGTCTTTTCACCCATTATTGGGATCATCCCCTATCCCTCCCCAACCCTTTGACTCATGCAGTGTGATACGAACCTATCCTAGAGACCATCCGTGACATGACATAATTAAACTAGTGAAAAAGCCGAGGTACCAGGGTATCTTCAAAAAGCAAGTATTATCAGCCCTGCATTCCAAGGCACAAGGCAAAAAGAAGATTAAAACACAAACCCAAAAATAAATGAAAAAAAAAAAAAAAAAAAATTAGAAAACCAAACCAATACTCCACCTTACATCCAATGAGAATGGGCGGTCACTCTCCGAGACCCGACCACACCAGATCCGGGGCTGATCTTCTTTTGTCGCGAGCCTCTTTTTGTCTTTCAACCCCACTCGCCTAAACCTCCGACGCGTGCTAGCGTTCCTGGGCAACCTTCCCATTGACCCCCTAAACCCGACCCAGAGAAGTGATAGTTAAAGCGGGGCTAAGTCAGTCTTCCTTGGTCTTCCAGACGTTTCAGTCGGGCTTGATGATTACCCGAAATCCTTTGCTCCTTTGTTTTTCTACTTGCATTTACTGTAGCCTTGAGCTTTTAGCCCCAGGAAGGAAGCTGCGGGCTAAATCAACTTGGCTTGCTTTAGTGGCATGTCATCAAGTTCTGACGGTGTAGCATCGCGCGGATGACCACCGCCCCCATAGGAGCCGTGCGCACTGAGATCAAGGTCGAGTAATGTGATGATTAATAGAGAGGGGCCTCGGTCGGATTTCCCCTAGTCACTGGGATTGGCGGTGCGCCCCCTCCTAGAGGTTACTGCGACGATCTTAAAAAACGAAAAAGCTTGGGATCCAATTATCCTCCGATAGTTTTAACGGTGTACGAATTGTACCTTGTACATACATAGTACTCCTCTGACTATAACTAAAAATGGGCTGAAACCATGGTTTCTGCCGTCCCCCAATAGGCTGCAACATCAACAGTAGGCTGTGCTTCAAAACTATGTTTCTCTCATGTACAGAGTCCAGTCATAGCTGTACTTTTACGTTGACATTTGGTGTAAATGTAACGGGTGGCTCTTATTGGTCCCCCCTCCCTCCAAACAACAGATACTGTAGCCTGTCACACAGCGTCATCGCTCGGGTCTTCTTTTAGACACGTAGGCTGCAAGTGCACGATAAGGGATATGCAGCCTCAGCAACCATCAGTTACGAGGTACCTTGCCCCATGATTAAGTTCTCAACTCGGTCTTACCCGTGCGCCTGCGTCGGGCACAGTCCGGACCTTCATGCAGGCGACCATCTTCAACTCACTTAGGTCCTGACGCCTGAGGCGCGGCGCCACACAAGGCCCAGGTGCTGGTGGGGCAAGACGATCTGGCCGACTTAGAAGTGGATCTGAAAGCTGACCGTCACGCACTTGCGTTGCCTAGTGGCGGAGCGCATGTTAAGAGAACTGTCGAGCCCAGAAGCGGTCAAGCCCAGGGGTTGGACCAATCACCTTCCTTGCGCTCTACATTACTGGTTTCTCAACACCCCTTCCCAATCTATGTGCAACAGCTTCTCTACAAAGTTAACTCCCCAACTTTGAAGAAAATGGCGGATCCACCCTTGGTCGCTATGGCCTGCTACTGAAAGTCAGCTGCTATGCCACGCCTTGCGGTCAAAGGGGAGATGACTCCGACACGGCTCGATGGAGTTCCCTGCATGGGGCCGATCCTGTTCTCATCCTCTCATCCTGCTCAGACTACTAACTCCGTAGGCCACATAACTGTCTACATTGTGACACTCAGGCATACCTCCCACCCCCTTCAAAAAGGGACGATCGATACAGCTGAGCGCAAGGGTATCAACAGCGCATCCGAGCTGCAGTGAGATGGTACACTTGCACCTGATAAATGCCAACCTACAGATGTCTGGGTCTTGATTGACATTTTGACTTTATAGTACCGCGGCATGAGGGGAGATTCCTCTAGCGTTGGCATCTTGGCTACAACGTACATGAAGGGATGAATACTGAACCAAGAAAAAGAAATAATAAAGAAGCAAAGAATGACCAATGTATCCATAGATGGAGTTTTCTCTGACTCTGTACACCTTTCACGAATTCCTCACATCAGCTGGCAGCACAAGTCTACTCAAAGATTTGTGTGCCCGACACTATTGAAATACCTAGTTGGCTATTTTCGAGGATCAGTGGGATATATACTTTGCCCCTCCTAGACGTCCAATATTACGTGTCCCAATCTTCCGTCCCGTGGCACAATTTCGGGCACATCTAACAAAACAATAATTGTAATCATCACAGTAGTGACGAGTAAATACAATCCACATTGCCATCTACAACTGGGGGCCAAGATGTGGTATACTCCGGCACTCCGTCCTAAAACTGACCAATCAGAGCCGAGAACGAACCTTGGAACCAGCGATCTTCAACTCTGCAGCAAATTATGGAAACAGAAAA